TGACGCGGTTAGTTCGATGTATATCGTGTGAGATATTGTTCAACATTTATGTTAAGCGCAATCAGTTTGTCTATGTATTAGTCCAAAAACATTTTCGTTAATTAAATTCAACTTAGTATTGTTTGTTTGAATCTTCCCATCGATTTGTTAGGACTGCAACTGGTCAGTCTCTAATTGGCATATGTGCATACTGTGCGTATTGCCTCGATATACCTTAATTCACAAGCATGGTTAGCAGAGAGTTTAACAAGGATAGTAGATACCTTACACACAGTTGTTAGGGATTTTGAATGATATAACTCTGTATCGATCACAGTGTCGCAGGTTCATTTATTCTTTATCTTACTGTAGATCTTGGGCTTTTTCATTCCTTTATGCATATCTTTTCTATCTGTCCGAACTATATTTTGAGTGTTTAGTCTTATCATCATCATTTTTGTCTATTGCTATTCATTTCGTCATTTTCATTTCTTTGTGCTAATGCTGGTGTATAAACTTAGGGTAATGCATATCTGTGGCAGGCTCTATGTTGATTATGACCAAATGACGATTAGTAACTTATACAAAAAATTTTTTCAATATAAGCAAAAAGGGAAAAACTCGATCAATTCGAAATCTTTACTATCAAATAAATCACGACATACTATCGACTAAAATAATACACTGAGCAAAACGTCTTTTTAAAAAAAATTATTTACAAGAACAACAATGGGGGATTGGGAAGTAACAACCTAATCACATTTAAAATATTCTTCGTTGTATAACTCTTCATATATTTTACACTGTACAATTATAAGTGGTCTTCTCTCTCTCTCAATGAATGCCTTACCATTTAAACCACTGAGTACAATTCCATGTCTAATCAGTTTGTGATGCAGCTCTACGATAATCCAGTCCCATCAATGACAACTGTTTCACTCCTAATATGTCTAAACCTCCACCAGTGACTACTTCCCACTAGAGTTGCGGAAACATCTTGAATGAAGTCACTAGTGATCTGGATATTATAGTTTATCTAAAGGGGTTTTGTGGTTTAATTTGTAGGTTATATTCGTCGCAGATTGATCCCATGCTAGAACAAAGCAGCTGTTCAGTGCTCCCTAGTTCTCAGTAGTATCCTAACTAAAATCAATGCGCGACCTAATGAAACCTTTGAATAATAATATAAGTTGTAAGAGTTTCTAAATGTCGCAAATGTGAATTAAACGACGTTATCCAATCTCGACATATTGTCTTTTTAATCTGTTACTTTTATTCAGTATTTTCATTTCGTCTGAATGTAATTTCTAACGGCATTTATTTGGTATTCTATCTGGTAATTGTCTGTAGACTATGTCTCCATTCGATCAATTGCTGATATTGTCATTGGTACTTTGATAGAAACTGATAACTATTTAGTGAATAGGTAACTGCTGTAAATCACTAATCCAATGGATAACTCCAAAGTTTAAGAACAATCTATTCTTTAAACTCACATCTTGCTCACTGCAGCATGCAAACATTGAACTATTAAAGTTTTAATATAAAACGGAGTTGTCTCACATTTTCATTCCCATCTACTCACTACTTATTAATGTTAAAAATTGCCTATTATTTTACGTTACTAGTAAAATAACAGGAGTAAAAGATATTTTACGAACCGAAGTACCGTAGTGTGTTCAACATATACATTAACCATGGCCATAAAATATGTACTATGCAAAATTTAGGTGAGATCAGTTTTTTCCCATTCAAGTTACCCCCCCCCCTCCCCACCTCACTTAAGATAATACAATTGTCTCATTGCTATTCTCTTCGTTTTAAATTTCTCTACGGTTGTCGAAATTAAATCCCTCTACTTCATTCTTTCACGTTTTATCTTCCCATCATCGTTCAATTCCTCTAAGACCGTTTTAGATTTTGAGGAGAAAATGTAGTTCTAATGGGTTTAGTAGAAGAGAATGACCTAGTGTGCGTCTAGAATTTATCAATAAAATATTTTACGATTTCATTTTGAGTAGTTATTAGATAGACTGAAGGGGTTACAAATCTCATCAAACGTCAGCTTTATTTACTAGTTCCGTCATACGCAGCTAATGTTCTGAATAACGCATTTATATAAAAAAATGTTAAAAATCTACTGTGTTTTAGTGGAAATTACATGTAGTATTTAACACATGAAAAAACTTTCATATTTTCTAGAATCTGGTATTTGCCTTCTTGTTACTGGAAAGCGATTGGTCAACATATCTGCCGATGAAAAGAAACGTACAAATCAGCAGCTTAAACTTTATGTTGTTTCCAATCGTGGCAATGACTCATTACATCCTAAAGTGAATAACACAAGTGATATTGATTCGGACAATGAAACATATTCAAAGAATCCAGTGTTTTTGAAAAGTCTAAAAAGTGACTACCAGAAACCAATAGATAAAGAAAATACTCAGTTTTCTGTAAGCTTTTTCCTTTTACCTCTGTAGAATTTCACCCTAAATTACTGATATATATATTTTTTCATATTATTATTTACAGTTAAATCATACTTCACTGACGATGACTTTCGGCGACTATTGAAGTTGCCTAAAGAGTAAGTAAATCCAACTTTTAGCTGGTCGGGGTCCGAGTGATCTAAACAAATAATTTGTCAGTATAGGGGGGTATGGAAATTGTAATATTTTCACAGTTGAAATCGCGAAATGGCCACCACTGGAAACCTGGAAGCAATGAACAGCCGTTTCGTCCTAGTATGGGACTCCTCTGCAGTGTCCATCCACGACTCCACGCTGAAGTCGAACCTATGACCTTTGGTCTTGCAAGCGTGTCAAGTGTGAGATAGTTATCCACTTCATTCATCAGATGAAGCGTTGCACAAGATCATGGGCTGGTTGAAGTTAGACATCAACACCGTTGGATGCCGAGCAAGTGGTTTAAAGGTTAATCATCAGAGCGCGAGACTTAAGGTCCTGAGTTCGATTCTCCTGTGTAGGGCCGTGAATGATCTCTGGAGAGGAGTCTCACACCAAGATGGTGTGGACCGGTTGTCCAGTGTTTCTAGGTTTTCAGTTGTGATCAAACTGCTATCAATTCGTGATTTAAACCGTAGGAATAATTTATTAGTTAAAAACTGAAAAAGAATTACGAGTAAGTTTAGGTATTTGATTTATAGTTTTATGGTAAAATTTAGTTAAAAAATTGGGTTGACAGTTGAGGTTGGAGTGAGATTATGCTTTATACTCTTATTAATAAGTATTCATGCAAATAGTCATTTGATTTTAAAGCTCAAGAACCTATAAGTTATTTTGAAAAATTCATAAATCACATTACAACACGATGTACGTTTTAGTAACTGGTCAGTCTCTAATTGGCATATGTGCATACTGTGCGTATTGCTTCAATATAGCATTATTTCACAAGCATGGTAAGCAGAAATGGATAGTGGCTAGCAGTGGAATCCAGGACTCGCGTTTCGTCCTATTTGGGACTCGTCAGCCACTATCCATTTCTGCTTACCATGCTAGTGAAATAAGGCTATATTGATGCAATACGCACAGTATGCACATATGCCAATTAGAGACTGACCAGTTGCAGTCCTAACAAATCGATGGGAAGATTCAAACAAACAATACTGAATGAATATAAATGTTTCACGTTTGCAATGATGTGGCATGAAAGTTTCTTAAACTTTCTGAGTGTATTGTAAAACATGTAAGAAAAATTAAGTGATTGGGAGGATTCTTGTGAAATCCATATGATTGTCAGTACTTCAGTTTCAGGGGTTTCTGTTTAGTCATTCTTGACCGAAATAGCCTTAATAAAAGATTTTATTTATTATTACTTCCCATACTCTTTGCTCGTTTATTTTTCTTCACAATCTCCCACCCTTTTTTCCGAATGTACACTTCATTGCCCAATTGTCTGGAGACTTATTACATAATCTTATAGCTTTTATGAACTTTATTTGTGTCTATATTTTTCAAGTCGTTGACCTACTTCTTATTATGAAACATTGATTCTTATCATAACTAGTATCCCTGTCGTCATACTATCAAGTTATACTCTTTACTTATTATGTTTATTTATGTAATCTATTCCACTGTAATCACTGGCTCATAAACTGCCTTGATTGGTTTAATAATTTCGTATATGCGTATAAATATTACTGTATTTTAAAGTAAATCCTGATGATGATCTAATTGAAAACAATATCGTTCGTTTATATCTGTTGTCCTAATTCTTGGGAAAGTTTTATTCAAGGTATTCTATTCAAGGGCCAAGTTAGCCTTTGAGTAATATAGAGCAGAATGTTGCTCAGTATATCCGGTGTTTGATAGGTGAATGAATAAATTACCTGTATCACTAGTGTTGTATCTTGAAAAAAGCTAAACAAACGATTTGTATCCGTGCTGAGATTTTATCAATCGCCAATCAGTTAAGTTATATGCAGCTGATCGTCTCAGTTACTATTACTACACAGTTTTAGTCAAACTAGTCATTAACCACTGACTTCTAAAATATTTTGTATTTAAAAGGAAATAAATACATTCTAAACAATTCCATTATATTATCCAAGGCGTCCAAAAGATTATACGTTATAGTCTGCATCTTCAAACAGAATCATGCTATCATATGTTTGGTTACATAACTTTTTCTATTAAATGTTGAGTTTTCGTTACTCTTCAGACTTATTTTCTAACTTTTGCTCTTCATTACTACTCATTTTACATTGATGCAATAAATCAGTAGTATATTTAGTCATATCAAATAGTTATACTGTTTTGATTATGCAATTCGCTTGAAAATAAAATTTCTAATTTCTAATTCATTTTAGAGTGTCAATTTTACTTTGGAATTTAATAATGTAGATGATGCTATGGAATTTCGGAAGAAAACTCTTCACTTGTCTTCCGGATATCGAACAAGATTGTCGGAATTTAATTGTGCCAAGTTATCTAAAGAGCGAACAACCTATGAGATGGGTAAAGAAGCTTTAGCTGTTTTGAATTCCTCTTCTTTTGAACAATCGTTTTGGTTACAAAAATATTGGTATGTTCTATATTTGGAGTGTTATATGTAGTTTAAAACTTTAGTATTAATATAATAACATATTGTTATGTTAATCAGGTATGGGAACCTGTGCCAATGCTAATTTTTGCCACGTTGTATGTTGATGATTTCTGTCTGTCTGACTTGGACTTATTATAGAGTTGTATCTACTAATTGGTAGGAAACTTTGGACGTAGGTTTCTTGCTAATCGGCATTCGTTAATATGATGTACCTACAATATTGATGGGACTGGTTCTTCCTGTAGGATTTGAAATCATCTAACCTCACAGTCTGAAATGAAAAAGTCCAATTTATGCGGTCCTTAATTAACCTCCAATGTTTCCCTCGTCGATTTGTATAATTGGTAACGACTCGGTCCTAGTTTTAAATAAACTTGTTGAATTTTTACTATCTCCATTAAGTTGGGTTAACTCATTTTATAAAACAACAACAACAACATTCTGTCAAGTGATACTAAGTTCTTTCTTTGACATAGGATCGTTGAAAGATTTAACTTGATGTATATAACTGTAAAGATTAACAATACAAGCTCAATGGATTAAGAAGTGGACTATTAACTTTCTAGTTGCGAGCTCAGATGTTGCTTAATTTATTTCAAGCTGTCGGGTAGTAACGTCCTTATCTTCCTCACAAACTTACGCTTCACTAACTAAATAAGCAGGTTGACTTTTTCTAGGTGAGGATCAACAGACTTAGACAGTCTCTTGTAATAGATCAACAAATTTTCACCAAGAATACGAAAATGGTTGATTGGTCGTTTGTTCTCCTAGTAAGCAGGATATTTTCTACCATGAAATTGTGATTCACTTGTGTTCATATATCTAATTTCAGTTAATCCACGTTTATTCATTGAAGCCTAAACATTTAGGTAGTAGTACCCTAACGGATTTGTTGATTTGATTCATAATTTTTGCTTACTTTCAAAGAATAATGCATGGTCATTGTATTAGTAAAAATCATTTTAAAAGTAATATAGGGGTAGTGTGACAATATAAGTTTTCATTGTTTTAGACTTTTTTAAAATGCACTTTTCCGTCCAAAGAACAGTTCTCGGGTAGTTATGTATATGTATATGCCATAAAATTGTGTTGCTCTACAAAATAATTTAAATACATACTAATTTAAAATGATTGTTTCATTCCTAAACTGTCAGTTATGAAACAGAGGTTTGTTTGTTAAAATATTTGACTTTTTATTTTTGTGTTACAGCTTCAAATCTGTTTCTTCATTTCACTGCCCAAGTAGTGTCTAGTAGAGTTTGTCACACGAACATAAACTTGACCGAATTCATAAAACTTGCACCGAGTAAATAAACTCACTCGAATTAATGTTTTTGTTGGTAAATTTTCCAAATGAACCAAAGTAGACTATGTATTACATTCGCCCAACCACCACCTGCCTCAACGCGCCATGTTTTCTGGTATAAGAGTAAGTTGGAAGAAGGCTAGGATCAGTCAATACTAACGTAGAGTCTGGGACATATGTGCATTGGCTCAAGTTGCCATAATGCATTCGCATGATGAGACACCCTTAGAGGGCTTGATCTTATCCACGTATGCGTCATGTTATATATCGCATCTGATTCGTTGACTGAAACTGAGCTACAAATAATTCAAAGTACACCATTATCCAGTAAAAGCAACGGTGAGAATAAAATTTGTTCAAGATTCTCGTAGTTGTATAATGTTAATTAAAGAATACATTAATATAGAATGCTAAAATTCTTAAAAGCTTGTATCATTTGTTATTTAAAATCACCTAGGATTTTTAAATTTTTAACTCCAAATATCTTATCTTACGTGTTATGTACTTAACTATATACGATCATCGCGAAATCCAATTGCCAATTTAGGTACTCTGACTTATTCAACCAAACGAATGATGCATACACCAGTATGAACAGTCTAGAGTTCCTATTGGTTCATTTTCCGCCTAGCCCTGTCTGCTAAGTCCAGAACACCAATCTCAGCCTGCGCGATACGAATCATTTATTTCAAACATACTCGATTTATATACAAGCAAAATCAGACGACATCACGCCATAAAATAGGAAATAACATTTGTACAAGATCATGCCAGAAAGTGTCTGTAATTGTGAGAGACTGTGACTAATAGATTGAGAGTAACTTGAGAATAATAAACCATATAACAGTAATCAACCGATCAAATAAAAACTTATAATAAGAGGAATATGAATATATGTAGTTTGGTTTCTTAACAGTTATATTATAAAGATATATGTATAGTATTAGTTCATAAATAGTTCTCAGGAGTTACCCATAATTTAGTCTTCGTTAGGATATAACATTACGTATATATGGCTGAAAAAGTCCAACTTTTTTGAGTTTAATAACTTAATATTGGTATATATACGTATGGTTAATCCATATCTTATGTTATATTTACTTATTCAGATGCATATCATGCGTCCAGTAGGATAATATTTGTAAGTTGGACAACACAAACATGGATCGACGCAAAAAGCTCTTTCAAACAATTGTTTGTGTGTCTTAATTTTCATTAGCTACTCAGATACTCATTACAGTAAATTTAAAAATTTTTCGGTGAACGTTTACCGCCCATATACCTGAAATGTTATTGAAAATTAGGACATGATAAATTATAATCGATATTGACTTCAGTTTAATTATGGAATTATTTAAGTTTCATTAAGAAAACCAAATCACTTCTTGTACACAAAAGTACCTACCGATGGTACTTAAGAAAAAAAAGCACACCTATGGATTATTTAAAAATAGAAAGTTGTATTTTAAACATTGTAGTTTAACGACAGTTTGTTTGTTGCGACACTTCAATTTATCCTTTTTAGAATCAAAATTTCTAAATCAATTCGAAAATGTTTTTATTCGCTTTTTAATAGGAAAGAAATGAAACAGACAACTACGTCATCCTCTGTCATTAATACACCTCGACCAGGAGTGAATATCACTAGTTCTGCTGGATTAAATGGCGACAATAAGCTTCATCATCGTCATTTAAGTGGATCCTTACCACACAGTAATTCTAACGGTACATCCAGTATAAGTGACACAATAAATATGAATAGTAGTAGTTGTTCCAGCATTGGTTCATTCAATAATAACAAAAATAATACTACTAATGATAGCAATAATAGTAATAACTCTAGTGTTAAAATAACACGACAAAATGAAATTGACAAACTACATACTTCTAACATTAATGATAATAAAAATAATACTAATAATAGTTGTTATAATAAAATAAAACTAAAACGATCTGTAAAACATTCAACGGGACTGCGTCATTCCCAATCATCTTCAATATTATATCCATATACATTAAATCATTCACATGATAATGATAATCTACTATCTAGTTCTTTGAATGACCGACCATTTCCACTTACTAGAAAGAATTCATTATCAAATCCATTAGATGTAGCTATTCCCCTGAGTAATGATTTACACTGTGTAAGTTATGATACATTTTATTAATATATTTGCTTAGTATGATTTGACTTGATTTTATATACATCTTTTTTCATTTTCACCAAATACGATTTGTTACATTTTCACTGTACTGTAAACATGATACAGATCTTTTCACGTTAAAGTGAACGTTTATTTCATTGATAAGTTGACCACTAAAAGTGAATATGATAAAAAAGAATTGACTCTGGTCTTGGGATTTAATCAGTGACATTAAATAGTAAGTTGAACTCCGGTTAAGTTTCTGTTGGACTGAAATATTCATGCATTGATTTATCATGTATTAGTAATTAATTTCATATTAAGTCTCTTGTGCTGATTGATGAAATTCTGTATATCAAGTTCAACATTTAATTCATTTTTGTATTGTTTGTTTGAATCTTCCCATTGGTATTCAGGACTGCAATTCATCAGTCTCTTAATAGCATATGTGCATACTGTGCGGATTGCCTCGGTATTGCCTATATCACAAGTATTATAAAGAGAGATGAGTGGTAAATCCATCTGACGAGTCCCAAATAGGACGAGGCGCGCATCCTGGATTCCGCTGCTAGACACCATCCATCTCTGCTTATAAGTTCAACGTTTGTTACCAAATATATATATATATATGCCTTGTTGACATGGCGTATCTTCTGAAATAAAACCTGATTTCAAGATCTACTTTCTTCAACTGTCTAATGTCAAACAAAGTGCACCTTCATGTTGAAAAGGTTGTCGGAATTAAACTTGGGTGGATAGGGTCCAGCACCGAAGACTAGACAACCTAATATTGCTTATTATAGGGATAGTAAGTGTGCTTGAAGTCTTCACATTTGTATAGTAATTGTAGCTTAGCAATAACTTTACATTGGCTCCAACGGTGTTTCCAGTGCTCTTGAAGTTTTAGGATTGTGGAAGCCACACATGTATTAGTTATTTTATTATTTTGTAAACTTGAATATCTTTTTCCATTCTGATTTTCCCTGTAGTACCCAACTTTCTTTTTTCACCACAATTAAAGACATTATGTTTTCATTGATCTTTGGTTTATTTTTGTCTTATTTTCAGGGTTCCTGTACATATATTTATGCTTTTATGCTATTTTCTTAAATCTTCTTTAGTCTCTAACAAATATATCTTCCTTGCGAGATTCGTCTTTCGTGGCGGGGGTATCCTAAGTTAGGATAATGAAAGACGAATTTCGGTATCCAGATATTATCGAGGTATAAACTAATAGTTATTGTTATTAGTTCAAGACACACCGAGAAGTGAAACGATTGAATAAGTTATTTGGGATAAATTATTACAAATAAAACGCTTCAGAACTCTGCACTGTCGTCACTTATTTCGGGTGGAGTGATAAAGAAGCTAGGAAAGTCCTATTCACTGTCTTCTCGTGGGAGGGATTGTTGTTTATGAAATTGAGGGGACGGAAACCGACTGTCCAGTACTGAAATCAGGTTGATGGATACGGGTGATCCATTTAGAGGAGTTGGAAGACTCTGATTTCAAACCAATCGTGCACATGGGCTGTAGAATCCTAAGGGAACAAATGGTGTATGAACCTATTTTTGGAGACCGACCAGTATGGAATGCTATCTTGTGACGTTTCTCGACTATGTTATGGATGAGAGGTGTAAGTGAAATACTTGGAAAATGGTCCCGTTAGAAAACCATGTGTTTGAGTTTGAGCACCCGTATAGTATTCCATCCCTCACACAGATCAAATGACGAAGTGTGGTCCATAATGCATATGTGGTGCTTCCTCGTAATAATGTTCATATGTTTAAACAAATAATAATTAATTCACAAATAAATTATCCCAGGTTGCTTGATGTCTGACGGAATCTCAGCACGGATTCAAAATTTCGGGTTGAGGTTTGCTAACTTGGTTCTTATGTGTTGTAGGTGTGATGTCCGTCTGTCAACCAAAATGATGTGTATACTAAACAGATGCATTCATTCCTGACCTTCCTCATAATTTTGAATTTGAATATATTTTCATATGTATATTTTCACTCTGTCTTTCCAAACCATATTCTCTGTTCTTAGTCTCTCTTATCATTACATTATTTCGCTCTCTTTTACTATAAACTGTTCTAATTTCATCTCTTTATGCTAATGCAAAGTAACAATTTGTGTCACTACACATCTATACCAGGCTCTATGTTGATGCAGACCGGCTGACCACAAACTAAAAGAATGCTAGAACATCTACTCTAGCTACAAATCTCCATCATATAAACAAAATATTTTAATGAATTTATTGTCCGTAAAATGATGGTGTATTTCAAAACACATAACAACGTATTTATAAGTTGACAGTTTATTCATTTTTAATAAACCGTGTGAATATACTTGGTAATCTTTTACACATTACTTTTAATTCTAGTCAAATTTACTTGTGTATTATTGTGTCCTGAAGGAAGTTTATGTAAATACGGTTAGAGCTTTTATTAAATTCAGTTGTTTTAATCAGGTCTATTTTTTGATTGACATGTTGAACTGATCTAAGTTAGACCATCATTAAAAACTTGAAAGCGCTGGGCAACCATTTCCTCCTAGTATAGGACTCCTCAACAGTGTGCATCTACAATTCCGTGGATGGTTAAAGTTAAACATTTACACTATTGGATACCGACTCAGTGGTCTAGGGGTTGAGGGTTTTTGCACGGTATCGAATATCCTCATTCAGTTCGCGCATGCGGGGTTGGGGATATCCACTGCCTAGGAGTCTCACATCAGTACGAAACGGTCATCCAGTGCACCTAATTTTCGGTGGTAGTCTAATTTAGATCAGTTCACGATTTCAATGAGGAAATCATTGAGTCATTGTCAGAGGTTGAAAGAACACTGATTACAATTTTGTGTTTACTAACGGTTAGCTTTGACAGGAAATTTTGGAGTTCTAGTGGGAAGCCGTGACCGGTGTAGTTCAACTGTATGTGATGTGAGGCAGTTATTCTGTGAAGACGATGAAACATGGTCGCGCAATTTCGTGGATTGATTGACGTTTGACATAAACACCGTTAAATGCTGAATCAATGTTCCAGAGGTTAGACGTTTGTCCGTAAGAATCAAGGTTGTGGGTTTGGTTTTTGCATGCAGAATCTTGTATCTGCTCTGTTGAAGATTTATTTCAAAAGAACTTAATTCATTCTGTTGATAAGTAGTAAAAACCGCATTGTTAGAAGGAGTTTAAGATTACTTACTAGAATGCTTTGATGTTGACTATGTCTTTTAAATTTTTCCTTTTCTGATTTTTATTTCTTTTATTTCACAGACAGTCACATCAGCACATAGTTGTGCGGATCTCACTTCCGATTCTACTATTCACGATGATCAGTCGAGTAAAAATAAGAATGAGTAAGAATATGATATGAGTTGTGATTATTATTAATATTTCTAACTAATGCACTATGTCATACAGTTTGGTTTTTGACAAATCTCGTGCTAAATGTGATTTGGTAGTCTAGGCTAAAACAGATATATATGTTTATAAATAACATGAAATCCAATCTGTAACTTATTGTGTACATGACTGTGTTGACTGGTTGAATTTTGTAGTTCCAGTTCTAACAACAAGAATCTGTAACCTCAACAGAGTTCAGTTATGTAGGATTCAAGACAACTAATACCAAAGCTATAGATAATGGTTAGTTAATATTGCAAATTGTCTGGAGTTCTAGGTTTGAACTATTGGATTCCAACTTGACAGTGCTAAATGACCATTGCGTGACATGAAAGCCGTTTGTTCCGTCCTTGATGAAGTTGTGGATGCATACTATTAAGTAATCACATACGTGGACAAAATAGCTATTCGATGGTTCCTGGTTTTCTAACCAAAATTAGTCGTTGATGTAAAACTACATAATTAAAATATATTATAATAGAAAAACCAGTAATTTGATTCTATAAAAGTGTTAAATAAATAACAAGGAATTGCTCAAGATTTTAATCGTGATTGAAAATAACTAAATTTAGACTAATATGATTGATATCATCAACTATTTCTGCTGAAAAAGTTTTGTATTGTTTGCGAAAATAAGAGGACAGAAACCGATTGTTCAGTGCTGAAATCAGGTTGGTGGATACGGAGGATCCATTTAGAGGAGTTGGAAAACTCTGATTTCAAACCAATCGTGCACATGGGCTGTAGAATCCTAAGGGAACAAATGGTGTATGAACCTATTTTTGGAGACCGACCAGTATGGAATGCTATCTTGTGACGTTTCTCGACTATGTTATGGATGAGAGGTGTAAGTGAAATACTTGGAAAATGGTCCCGTTAGAAAACCATGTGTTTGAGTTTGAGCACCCGTACAGTATTCCAGTCCACACAAAAATTGAATGATAATTACTTTGCGTGGTGCTTAAATATGTTGGTGTCTCTTTATACTAATATTTATATGTTTAAATAAACAAATTAATAAGAACACCAGATAATGAATAAAATGTCTTAATCATTAGCTATCATATTCTTAATGTGGTAACATGACAATACTACATGGAGGTAGGATTCCTTTAAATGTTTCACACTTATTGCATGATTTCTATTTTGTAAAAACACCCAGCAATTGTATTGTCTCGTATTCTCGTAGATTTAAAGGGGTACTTGTACTTCAAATGAAATTTTTGACGATTACAACCTACAGATTAAACTAATCCTCATTAAAACTATCTAATTAAATTGTTAAACTTGCTCAAGTTTCCAAGTCAGAATAATTTTCATGATGTCAAGTTGTTTAACTTTAAAATGAAGTGATTTAGTGTCAATGTTTTCAAGTCTACTCGAAATTCCACATATTTCATTATAATGTCTTAAGCACTATGTATAATATCGTCTTCCTTTCATATCATTTTGTAAGATATCTAGAACCACGTGTTTTTCGGGCGCGATTCAATCAAGCTGGTAATATTATTCAAAGAAAATTAATTGAACGTATGCATGAATATTCTAAGATTGAAAAAATTCATATTTATGTCGGTACATGGAATGTGAATGGTCGGAGTGATACTAATGGTAATATGCAATTGGATAATTGGCTGATATCACCTGACGGTCAACCACCAGCTGATATTTATGTATTTGGGTAATTTCATCTTCATTTCTGAAGATTTATCATTATCTTTTGTTTTGTGAAAAACTGATGCCATCTGAAGAAAAACATCCTATCGGGAATTTATAAAAATTAGAGAACTTTGGGACCACCTTGTTTGTGTACTTCGTTTTATGCCCTTCCGCCGCTTGCTTCAGTTATCGTATTCTCATCCTACAGTAAAGCATAACCAATACACAAATGAGAGCACTGAATAAGATAAAGGGCTTAATTGTCGAACCGAATTATAATGTACGCAAATCATATATATCCGTAAATGTCATTCCAATCTAGACAAGTACATGTCTGAAATCTTCAGTTGGTTCACTATTGACTCCTTCCAATTTCTTTGCTAGTTTATAATCTTTCATCTACCGTTTAGTTTTGAGATATCATGTGAACAAAAGCACTTGATGTATCTCTGCTCGTCCAACCGACACTCTTCAGCCAGTGTACACTCGTGACTACTATATATAGGATGGCGGACTAGATCATTTTGTCTCGATATTATATATATATATATACATATATATATATATCATTTCAAATGTTAACAGGTAAGTCCCTGGTAAGAAACCTGCCTTGTGTATATTGGTCTGGGTAAACGGTTAATATCTCAACCTTCACATTTAGCGTAGGTACACAATGTGTAGTAGTGAAACTAAATGTGATTGGTCACTGTTTGTTGACAAACATGCACTCCATTTGATGATGACCAAATATGTAACTTCTTCTCCTCATAGTAACTTCTGCTCCGAACTCAGTGAAAGTGATTGCTTGTAATTGTATTGAATAGAGTACTGCCTAGCTTTACTCTGGTTCTCTATTTTGATCATAAATCAGGTGTCTGATGTGACGAGATCTAGTCAATTTTGGTTGTGTTGTTTGAGTACCCCAATCTAGCGGTATTATTAACTCATTCACCTAGACCAGTCTCAATCTCATATAATCGTTTTTATCGTAGTAACGTAGTATATCGCGAAACAAAAAATATTTTGATTCATTCTTCAGCTCAAGCTCGTAGTCAAGTTTACGAATGTTTACTGTAGAATTGATATATATTGTTCAAATACATTATATAATTACTTTTAGTTCAACATTTTCTTAGGTAGTTTTATTTAAATGTCATCATTTTATACAATTTGGTTAATTGATTCAACTCCAAAAATCATCTATCAGTCTGTACTCTAATCAGTTGACATTATTTTTACGTTTATCTAAAATTTTTATGTTTGATCGTAAAATATTTTAACTGCATTATTAAATCAGAATACCGTTGTTAGCTTGTTTAATCAAGATAAATTGAATTGAAAATTTGTTTCTCTTAAATTGTTTTTTTGTTCAACCAATCTGGTAAATAACCTTTAACTAAATTTTAATAGTTGAATTCACGAGTCGATCTAAGCCAAACCACCACTGAAAACCTGTAACCACTGGACGGCCGTTTCGTCCTAGTATGGGACTATTCAGCAGTGTGCTTCCACGACCCTGTGTATAGGAATCAAACTCAGGACCTTCGGTCTTGCGTGCGAACGCTGAACCTCTAGACCACGTAGCTGGCATCTAGTGGTATTAATATCGAACTCCAATCGATCCATCCAGTGCTTCTAGGTTTTCAGTGGTGGTCTAGCTTAGGACGACTCGTGAATTCCACTACAATCTCCACAAATCCGCATTTTATAAATAAATGTTTCTAAACCTTAGTTCAATAATCTATAGTGTCTTGGTGTTTCAAACGTATTGAATTAAGGTATTTTCTTCTAAATAAAAAGGGAAGTCTATTTTCTATCTTTAGACTTTTTCCATTTTCCGATGTTTTCGGTTTTAGTTTCTCATATTTATTGTCTTTTGCTATTCTGTCATTCATTCATTTTATCATAGGTTTCAAGAAATGGATTTAAGTTTCAGTGTAATTACTCTAAATAAAACTAGTTCTACTGGTCCAGAAGAACGATGGATTCAACAATTAGAAGAAGCTTTAGGTGGTTTACTCAAACGACCTACATCACATTCTGTTTGGGCCCAAAGAACAGGTTCTGTAAAATCATACGCTGCTCAATGGTCGCATCATACAGGCGGTGGTTATTTACGAGTGGAACGTGTTCGCCTAGCAGGAATCATAATGGTTGTTTACATATCAGCGCGTTTATCTGCTCATTTACGTCGTGAAGAAATCTCTTGTCAAGTTGTACCTACAGGTGTTTTCAATGTGATGGTTAGTGCTTTTTCAATGTGACTAGAATTGGTTATTGATACCATTGATTAATTAGGTCATTTTTTCACTGCGTAATCTTCTGATCACTTGAAATTGTAATTTGGATTATTGATGGATGACTTCTTTTCTTTTTTACATTGGCAAAAAAATTACTCGAAAACACCGTAGTTTTTGAATATCACAACTCGTGGTCCAATAACTTAGACAATATTTTACTGACCATTATACCGCTTGTCTACAGACGGTCTGGTTAATTCATATGGAATAGTTAGTTAGTTCTTTTTCATTTATTAGTTCATCAATCTGGATGTGGCGAGTTTTATGAATTATGCATTGCATAAACATAATTTGTAATTGGTAAGCAGAGATGGATAGTGGCTAGCAGTGGAATCCAGGACGCGCGTTTCATCCTATTTGGGACTCGTCAGCTGGATGTACCTGCATCTCAGAGTTGATGTTTGTAATTGCTAAAATGCTGGTCGATCAGTATTGTGCAGTGATACGAAGTGTGACTGAATCTTGAGTGACATGGCTCGGAATTAACTACGATAGCTCAGGTGCATTTTTCCTATTACTGGATCTTAAGTCTCAATATTCCTTCATACTCACATCTTTCCGCTTTGTCTTTTCGAAACATTCTATGTATTCAAAAAGAGACATTAATAAACTTATTACTACCCTGGTAATCCAATTATTTTGTATGTGTTTGTTTTTGGTCATTGATATTATTTTGGTTAATATTTAGTTTTGTATTATATTCCTCTTCCACTATCCAATTCTTAAACCACCCTTTCACTCACACATTTCCGCTCACTTGTTTCTCTTAACTTATGTGAACTTATCAAATTCTATTCAATTATTACGCAACCCATCGTATTTGTTGTTAATTCTATGATCCCTTTATTATTTCTAAAATGACCACACAATTTATCTTATCTGTATCTGAACTTCACTCAATTATTACACCACCTACCCTTTATGTTTCCTTGATTCTAACATCTAATAACCTCAGACCTTTTCTTGCATATATATATATATATATATATATTTGTAATATCCCAATGAATAGAAAAATTAGATTTTCTGACGTTTCGTGACTCAGTGTAAGCCACTTCTTCAGAGAATAAATAACCAAATTAATATTAATCCAAGTTTTTAAACCAAGTATTTAAACTTGGATTAATATTAATTTGGTTATTTATTCTCTGAAGAAGTGGCTTACACTGAGTCACGAAACGTCAGAAAATCTAATTTTTCTACTCATTGGGATATTACAAATATATTATTTTTATTTATAACAATCTACCCAATGCTCAATTTATTCAAAATTGTCAAATCAAGTCTTGGTAATGATACCTATATATATATATATATATATATATATATATATATATATATACATATATATATAGTTATCATTGATAACCTTTAGTCATTCCAATCCTTTACACACTATTTATTATCTCAATGCTAAAGTTCTAACACATATTTGGTTGTAAGCAGCTGACGAGAAACCACGAAATATGATGAATTTATATTATTCTGCATCAATATTTGTTATGGCTTTGTTTAAATTCATAAAGGAAACTAATTACATGAAATATTCTCAAAGCTTCGTCTCTCTTATCAGTATTTCTATTAAATTATATCGGTCACTTTTATTACTTACTTATTTCCATTTTGTTTTGCTACTAGTGATATGATAAGATGTGTCCTATAGGCTCTATGTTGATTATAACTTACTAATAATAACTAAGTCCATATCCTTCCTTCTTTTTTAATTTCAGGGTAATAAAGGTGGTGTTGGCATTCGATTGACCATATTTAATTCTTCTTTATGTTTTGTTAATTGTCATTTGGCTGCAGGTGAAGCGAATCTTGATCGTCGTAATCAAGACTTTCGAGAAATAACACGTAAAATGTTATTTGAATTTCCAATGAATTCAAAAAATTCCATACAATCATCTGAAAAAGCATTTATTTCAGATCATGAGTAAGGTTTCATTATTTCATTTGTATGCTTTTTTTGGAATTTTTAAAAATTAGATATTGACACTTGACTTACGTTATAAATCGTCCATTACTAGCGACGATACACCTATTCTCTATACAACTTTTGACAAAATAGTTTTATTGAGGCAATCCACACAGGATCCATGATTTGGAGAGCCAATCAGAGGTAGCCTAATGAGAAGGCCAATCAATGGCAATCAGAAGCGACCTAATGTATAGGTGCATTTAATTGGCTAATAAATGGATCAATTTCTTAAAGATTAGTGTTATATATATGAATAAGTATTTATGCATTTTATTCGATATCACAGTGCGTTTTCTCACTCTTGTATTTTCGCTCAAATGGTCAGTTGTTGGGTAGCGCGTAACACTCCGTATATCAGTATCAGATTTTGAACACTAACCGTCACAACACTCCGTGTATCTCAACAAAGACTGACTAAAATGCAGTCGATATTATTGATAACGAAATAATTCCATCACTTTCTAATAATGGCATTATCATCATACTCATTGTATAAGCGAGTAAGTTATCTGGACTCAATAGTTCAGTAGATATTGCGTTGTGTGTTTAGAATAAAAAGGTACTAAGTTTGAGTCGCGAGTGTGAACGCCAACACTAGGTGCCCATTGATTTATTAAAAAAAGTGAAGTCAGTTCTCAGTGAATACAACTTTCTTTTCTACGAAATCGTTTTCTGAAACCACAATCGTAATATTTATAGATTACTTTCTCTATAATTAGTAATCTATGTCGAAATTCTCTATAAATACAATTGTGCAATTTCGAAAAATGATGTAATCGAAAAAGGAATTTTTCTTTTTTCTTTTTAATCCGATTTTATTTAAACTTGATTAAATTACACGGAGTTAATTGCTATGTCAGTTCTGACTAACACGTATTTCATAGAGTGAAGATACGAAGTTAATTGGGCAAAGTAATATCTACTTTAGTGGAATTCTATCTATAAGCAACAAACGTCAGGATAAATTGGTGTTCATGATAACTTGAACTGCTAATAATCAGTAAATACCTTTTGTCTGCATAGAACTCATATGTGTCCGTATCTAGATGTGTATCTTTGTTAGAGCTGAAGCGACAGTTCAATAATTAAAGCATTTAACTTCTAACAACAAGGTCACAAGTATGAAACCCGCTCCATTTAATTCAGTTTAGGAAACCATAGAATATCACTGGTACCACACACACACACAGTGCGGTTGTATACAAATTATACAAATTTATACTTCATCGTTGTCCCAATTGTTAAAGGTGGATGATAGATTATTTTCCTTATTCCTTATTTATATATTATTTTGGTTGTTATTTGTATTTACAACTTTCTATTTTCTTACATTCATCATCTAGCATTATTTTTGTATTTGGTGATTTAAATTATCGTATTAGTGGCCTGGATTCACCTAGTGTTCGTAAATTTATTTTCGAAAAAGATTTCTCTTCCTTACTCAAATATGATGAAGTTAGTTTAGAGTTAATGATCGTTTATTTTCTCAGCACTGCTTTTTAATATTTTGCGGTTATTGATTTCATATGTTACCTTTTCATTAAGTACGCGAACAGAAGTGATAAACTCTGTTTCTCAAAGTTGCTAATTTTAGTTATCGGATTTTAAGCAGAGTTTATTTAGCAATAATTGACTGAGCTATGAATCTTCATCAGTTGAATTAACTAGGACATGTGATGAACTGTCATTAAATGGTACTCTGGTTACCACATAGAAATTGATTCGGAAAACCCTAGGATTTTTGCACATGAAAAGATTGTTGTTAGCGTGCGATGATTCCTAATCACGAACGGTAAGGATATTCTTGTGACACAAATATGTATCTATATGATTTCAGTATACCAGACGACTAACACACAACACTTTGACTGCCAACTGAATAAAACATAGTACTCAAAAATAGATTGATATTTAAAAAAGTTAAATTTGTGATGGGGCTACTTCTTTTATAAACACAGCAACTAACAGTGACAATCCAAAAGTGATAGTTGCCAACCAAGTATAATATCAAAGGTCAATGCGGAAAAATGAATTAGAAAAAAAGTTATTGTCGTTATCTTTACAGAAAAAAATACCGATATTTTTTAACAGTAAAGTGAATAACTTGAGGTTCCCTTAGCAAATTATTAGTCTATGCTGTTCCCACAAGTGCAAACTAAGTAGTGTTAAAGTCAGGTGACTGTAAACTACCATTGAAAACACCTTAAGAGAGTGGCATTAATTTGTTGTTGTTGTTTAAATGAAGATCTAATCAAATCAGCTTTAGTGAATAGGTGTAGTCAGTCAATTTTATTACATGTTATCAAATCTGAGGAATATCAACGATCAGTCAGTCACAACGTTGAACCTGGTATGTATGCACATCGGTTCAAGTTACCATACCCCATTAGCACAGAGAGATGAAGTTGTCAGGCCGAATCCCAGTATCAAATATGTCGAGATCATTCATCATATATGTATCCAGATAACCCATAAATCAACATTTATTTCCTGTTCCATTTAATAACGATTTCAACTAACAGAGATATCTACCAGACATTCTGTCTTGAATATCAACAACCGGGCAATCAAAACATAAATTATTATTTGTCAAGTTTCCCTTCATAATTAATATTAATTATATTCTGTAAATGGTTATCAAAGTATCCTAAATGTATATCATATCGACTTATTGTTTTTTCTATTTTATACACTTATTGAATTAGTTATTAAAACTTATGGAGAATCGTAATTTATTTGATGGTTTTCATGAACCTATTATCAATTTTGCTCCAACTTACAAATTCGATATGAATTCCAATGTTTATGATTCTAGGTAAGTTTTTTACATATGGTATATGAATTTCGATAGTTATTTGTTTTGTTTCTTGCATATGCGAAGTTTGATGAAAGACGTTTTGTTCTCTAATTAATAGTTCATTATTCTTTTGTAATGTTCCCTGTGGCTAGATCGTTTTTTGAAATTCTTTTCGAAGATATTTGCTATATATATATACATATATACCAATACCAACGTCAAGACAGTCCTACTGTATGTAGCCGAATCGTGAAGAACTACTAAATCCATCTTCAAAAAGGTACGAGTATTTATAAACAGTTGTCTACGCAAAATACTCAACATTCACTGACCGGATACTATCAGCAACAGCGTTTTATGGGAGAGAACAAACCAGCTTCCAGCTGAAGAGGAAATTAGAAAAAGACGTTGGAAGTGGATAGAACATACATTAAGGAAATCACGAAACTGCATCACGAGGCAAGCCCTAATTTGGAATCCGGGAGGGAAGTAGTATCAATTTGTTACATTTTATTAAAACGTCTGAATTCTCTCTAGAAATCCTGGTTTTTATTCATTCTTATTAATACAAATTGTATGTTATAGTTTATGTTACACTATCATGTATTGAAATTATTCACCTTATTTACTGAAATAAGTGTTTAATTAACTTTGTTTTTTATTATAAATTACTTTTCAAATAGTGATAAAAATCGTGTTCCATCCTATTGTGATCGTGTCATATGGTCGGGTGATGGTTGTAAACCAATTATTTATCGTTCACATCCAGAATTTGTTTGCAGTGATCACAAACCTGTTTCTGCGTACTTTTCAGTTGATGTGAGTAGTTTTTATATACATATATATATAGATATATATATATACATATATACATAGATATTTCTATAAACTTATAATTCAGTGATCCAGGATAATATAAATTCGATATTTATTGGATTCTATATAGTTGAGATCATGAGTCAATTGAAGCTAGACCATCATGGTAAAACCTAGAAGCACTGGACGTCCGTTTCCTCCTATTGTGGGACTCCTCAGTAGTGTGCATCCACGATCCCGCCTCGCAAGATTCGAACCCAGGACCTACCTATTGGATTCATTAATGTGCGAATATATGACATTTCAACCATTAATTTTTGATATGGCTTCTCTTAACAAATATGAATTTAAAATATCTTCTGTAAATTCGTATCAGCTTCTTTGACTGTTAGGTTAACTTAATGATCTAAAATTATGAACAGTTCAATCGAGGGATAGATATTTTAAAATAATGTGTAGGACATGAATGTATCTTTTTAAGTAAAATAAGTTTTACAAAGTTTGTAAATATTGGGATAATCTTGCATATGATAACCGCTTAAATTAGTTTGTAGGTCAAAATGAGTTTGAAAAATTATAAATTACAATGCTCCCAAATCCTCTGATACAACTGAGTTTGAAGAGAGCCCGTCCTCCCTCTCGAAATACTCTCGTATGGCTACACGTATACAGCCGCTTCCAAGAAATTCCTACGCACTGAGTAGGACATAAAGCGAATGTCTGGTGCTTCAACCAGGATGGTGGATACAATGAATCTACCTAGGGGGAGTTGGAGAACCCTGATTCATGAACGATGGTGCACAAGATGGGCTCCAGAATCCTGAGAGAAAAAAAATGACGTATGAACTTATCGAACCTAGGACCTTTGGTTTCCCACGCAAACGGTTAACCTCTAGTTCACTGAGCCTGCATCCAAGGGTGTTAATGTCTAGTTTATTTTCTAGGAGGTTTGTCTAAATGCAGTTACTCACCTGCTTTTATTTTGTTTTTTTTCCCAGTTTATTTATCAGATATTTTTTTTGTACCATAACTTGCAATTTTCCTTTTAATATATATTGGATGTGTCGTTTCGTGCTGTGATCCGATTCAATTTTAGTACACTCTTCTTCTCCTTTGATCAACTGGCTACGGTGAATACGAGAACTAACAGTGTATAGGAACTTTTAATTTTCAAAGTTCAACTTCACATATATGTAAAGCATGTATTCATATATAATACTCAATTAGTTCAGACTGTGAGGTGATCTAAGCAATATGAGTAGTTCACTTATTCGCAATAACCTGTCTATACGTGCATTTCCTATTTATCATCTGTCTTCTTGATGATAACATGTGGTCAGTCTGAACTTGCAGCATGATATGAATCAAACGATATTGCCCCAGGGGTATCATGAAGTTTTTGATTTTTCCACATACTTATTATCCAATATCTGTTTTGTACCTAAAATAAAGATTGGACGAACCAATTTCACCATTATTACTTTACGAGGGGATTTATTTCGGTGTTAAGGTCACTTTTTCCCACACCTTTATCTCGTACTTTTTTCAAGACCTTGTGTTTCCCTCTTAATAGTAAGAATTTGATTTAATAATGTTAACATTAGGGTGTCATCTGTCATTAATGCATTTTTTAAAAAAGTTATTGTATAAATCGTCCATCAAATACCAACAATTAGCTAATGATTATCGCTCATACCGTTGTTCTACAAGGTTACCAATTTTCAAAAGTTGGTAATATCAGGTAGAGTCTTGTTACTTTTATTTGATGTGTTTGAAAAACGTCCAGGATAACAAAGTGGGAAATATGACAGTTGAGATGTAAAGTGAATTTTTTTTTATAAATTCCAAACAAGTGAGCTACTAACAAAAAGTTGTTAACTGTAGTCAGGTAGTTTAATCTAGAATAAAATGAACTATCAATTATTTGATCTTTTCATGTCATTCTTTCAGTCATTTAACTAAAAATTAAGCCACATTACTCTATGCCTTTCAATTAAATGAATGTCAGAAATTAAACAGTTATCACATTAGTAGGCCTGGATGATCATCGCGCCATAACGCAAACTGATCAAGGTTGGGATTGTGCTATTGGATTGTAGTTGAGTGGTTTTAGTAATCAAATATTCGTAGCAGGATCTAAAAGTGTCAGATACGATTTCTTGAGGGATCGTGGGTGTATAGTGTTGAAGTATCCCGTATTGGGATGAAACAGTCGTTTAGTCTTCCTGGTTTTCATTAGTATCTCAGTTATGATAAATCTTTGACGAATACCTATTGTCGAATGATAAATTGTTATATATATATATATATATATATATATATATATATTCCTTCGTATGTTCTGTTTTCTTCAATGTAGCTGCGTCGTATAATACGTTCAGCATTTCAACGTGCTTATGAATCCGTTCTACTCAGTATAGATTTAACCACAAATTTATCACTTCCACAAGCTGAATTGGATAGACAAGAATTAGATTTCGGTTGTGTGCATTTTCACGAATTATGCAGTCAATCATTAACTTTAACTAATATTGGTCTGAATGATTTTCAATTTAAATTCTTACGTGAAGGTGTTGGATCATTCCCACCATGGCTTACAGTTAACCCATCATGTGATACTGTGAAACAGGGTATGTGTTTACATGAACAAATGAAAGGAGGATAATTTTTCGGTATCATTATAGTGTAGACAACTGATTTTGTAAAAGGATTTTTTAAATGTGGTTAATATGACTATGAAGTTCTAATATCTGCTAACAACATTACTTGAGAGTGATATATAACTATTTTTACAGTGGTCATGCTTTCTTTATCATTACGAAGAACGAGGTGATCTCCATTATTGTTAGGAATTTGTGAGTAATTGTCACTTCCCAGTTACTAATGTGTGAAAAGGTACTTCTTCATGTAGTGTCCGTTAGAGAAACTGGGTTGGGAGTGGTCTTGATGACTTAGGAGCTTGGGCACAGTGTTCAAGGGACAACTCCGTGAGGGTTGTCACATACGGGCCCTCTGTGAGTAGTTTTAGGTGTGTTCTGTTCTTTCAAGGTTTTACTACCGGTGATGGATATCAGTGTGACGAAATAAGATATTGCATTTTTTAGTTGGCATTTTCATTCCCCTCTTTCCGTTATGTTAAAGTAGCATCGCTACAGATGTTAGCTTTGTGACGGAAACCACTTACTACAATCTTACCTTTGTGGACCGTGAAGTTGCCGCCTTTAGTCCTGCCTCTAATCTGACTGATGTGATGGGACTTTCAGAAATGAATATCTCAGCCAATGTTGTCTGATGGGATCGTCAGGATATGCAAACCCTTACGTTAGGAGTTAGCTGTAAACTTTTGTGTTATATCCAGAATACGTAGATGGTCTGAAAATTGTACTGTGTTGTTATTGTAATCGGATATTCATTTTTTTATTTATGTTATGTATAATTAAGGTATGAGACTCAAAAACTTATCATTCACAATAGCGTATAAATAGGATTTAACAAATATATACATATTGCATTTTGTATGAAAACTGGAAAAAAAATCCAAAGACAAAATATATCAATAAGTATTTGAAAATAAAAATGGAAAGTTCATTAAAGTAAATGATCAAAGTAGTAGAATGAAATATTTGTAAGGCTACTAGTACACTGGCCATCTGCCAGAGCTTACTGCTTTCTATCTCTGCCATTAGGAATAATTGAGTTCATTTACAAAAACGATCAAGTTTACTGTATGTAGTGAAATATGACTTATCAATTTTTGGATCAGCCCATATTTTTGATTGGAAATATGAAAGTCCGGCTAAACAATTAATTTGATAACATGTAAAAATGAATCCACTGGTTGCTTGAATGAAAGTTCATACTTAGTTATCATCTAATTTTTGTCAAATTAGCTTCATCCAAGCTGAAAAAAAGTGAAGAAACCTTGATGTGGTAGTTAGCGTGACTTGACCAACCACCATTCATCGGGGTGGTCGATAATCCACCATTTCCTTATCTGAAACACACTCTGTGTTGGGTAGTGGTAGTGTAGGAGATTTTGTTTTGATAATAATCTATCATTGAAAAGACAAGGTCGATGCTTCACCAAAAACCTAGACAGCATATAAGCGATTGTGTCACATCCCATTGTGTATACCAATTTACATGTATGTGCGGTAACACGTACATAGGGAGGAGCAATCGTGATTTGCAAATAAGGGTGGTGGAACACATACCTAAATGGCTACAGAACCAAATGAATTCGAATAGTCAAATAAGATCACAGGACAGACAAACATCTTCCTCTATTGCGAAACATTTAGTTGAAACTGGTCATAAGGTTGACATCAAATCAGCATTTGTAGTGTTGTACAAAAGCCTTCAAGGACGTATACTAAGGTTTATTGAAGCCTTGGCTATACGGAAATTGAAACCCCCTTTATGTGTTCAAAAACAATTTGTTCTTACCCTTAACCTACCCTGGTAATGCTTATTTATTATCCAGAGTAGTCATCACTTTGTTTTTGTGTACTTTATTTATTTTCTTACCTTAACCTGTCTAGTTGACCTTTTAATTTTCATATAAAAAATGTCTTAACAAGTATATGTGTGATCAGATTGTTCGAAATGTATTGCGCTAATATATCACATAATTCTGATAATCTTCGTCTTCTCATTGCATTATCGAAAGTCTAAACTTCGTTATCTAATTCGGTTTGTGTGGCTGTTGAGTAATAGTAGTAGTATCAATAGCCGTCGAACATAAACTATATCCCTCAGAGCTCAGAATACAGACGTGTAACTAGTGAATGCGTTGCATAGCACAACTCAAATCATTTCTACAAAAGTATATTTCGCATTCCCCCATGATAGTTAAGATTGAGTTCGCTTATTATGGTTTGGTTGGTGTCTGCCTGTTGTCATTTGGCAGCAAACCCACATGAAGCACCATATCCATCATAACTAGAGATACGTACATATCACTGATAACTAACAATCGATACAAAACGTAGATTAAACAGAGTATTCTGCAGACTACCTCCAACCATCTAACATCTGAACATCATACTGTGCATGACGTTGAGCCAGTTAGACTACTAGCTAAATCACAATTTGATCAACATATTTCAGTCAATACTACTGAATTAAACAAAAATGATACTGTTACTACTCAGTGATTAGTCTATTGTCTGCCTGTTTTTCTGTTCTTGAGGTCATTGAGTAGTATTTTTCAAATTATAGTCATCAACTTCAACTCTGTAGTTTATTTACTTCGAAGTATCCTGATCATTAGTATAATTTTGCAGTAATCTGAATCGACTTTTTTGTTTGTATGTTTTACTAGCTGCCTATTTAATGGATTTTATTATCTTATCATGACTTATGAAGGCATATTGACATGTCTCATTGTTTCATGAATCTTTTTCCGTGCTACCCATAGTTCAAGCTCCACGCTTCACTGGTTTATTGTCATAGTATATCAACTCCTACCTTGTTCCTTATTTTCGTGAAGTGGTGATCGATTCTCTAATTAAGGCATTTGACTTACTGTCATTAAGTGGCTGGCTCGAAACCCAATACACTTATTTCTATTTATCCAGCCAAGTATTATCATCAATCCCTATACTCAAAGCCAAGTGCACGGTTATGAATTTGATAAAATAAGTTCCTGAAAATAAGAGAAAAATGAAGTATCAAATCGATTATTTTAAAATAACTTCAAATTTCGTCATGTGACACATATTTTTCAGCAATCATCATTTGTATTCAAGTGTTAGCTGATTTTTCAAAATTTCTTTTACAAAATATAAAACAAAGTTCACCAGTTGGTATGTAAATGGGCTACAGGATCCTGAAGGAACAAACGGCGTATGAACCAATCGTTGGTCACCGGGAGTGCATTTCCGAAAGTTCCAGATACACGGAGGGTGTTCCTTGTCGGCACCTCTTTTTGGCGAGGTGAGGTCAAGTGAATGACCACACTAGGATCCTGTATGCGTGTTTCGGAGACACAGGATACATCAGTGGTATGAGATTCTAGGGTTTTAGCCAAAGAGGCCTGTTGGTCGACTTGACATAGGGTACGTACGTTGAAGGCTCCAATGTGTAGTTTGGTGTGAGGTTTCAGTAGACCTGGGACAGTGTTTCACACACTAGAATCGTTGATCGTGGTGCACTTGAGGAGGAAGCCGAAAGAGAAAGTTTAATGTTGAAAGTCGAGGTAGGACTAGTAATGACTTGTGTGTCTCATTCGTATTGGGTGTCCCTTTGTACCAATATTTTTGTGTTCAAATAAATAAATAAAGTAAGGTAGACCACCCTTACAAATCTGGAACCACTAGATGAACGTTTCGTCCTAGTATGGAGCTCATCAGCAATGTGCATTCACGATCCTGCCTGCGGGTCTCGGACCCAGGACCTTCAGTCCACTGCTTCCAAGTTCTCAGAGGTGGTCTAGCTTAGATCGGCTCCTGGATCAGACCGTTTAAATATTACAATCTCCACAAATCCCCGTGCTGACTATTTTTTTAAAAATTAATTTCTGACGTTCATTTTATTTGTGAATTGTTTCTTTACGTTTTTTCATTTCTTGTAGGCAATTCTATCAAATTAGAATTTCAAATATTTGTTAATTATAAAGAAGTGTATGCATTGAATAGTGGTACTGCTCAATTATCTACAATTGTTGTATTACAATTAGAAGATGGGAAAGATTATTTTATCTCAATTAATGCTCAGTTTATTCCAACAAGTTTTGGTTTACCATTAATTCTATTATTAAGTTTAGAATCGGAACCTGTAAATAAACTTTCGATTAATGAATTACACGAGCAGGTAGACAAAAAATTGTTTCTTGTATTTTTTAAAATCTTAGAAGTGCACATTTTCTTTTAATGTTTCGTACATCTTTTTCTCGGGTGTGTTTGTGGGGAGGATAGTGGTCAATTCGTTAAAGGCATATTCAATTTTTAGACACCAAGTTTTAGGTACAAACCCTACTCTAAACTATTTCAGTTTGAGCGATTGATTAGTATTATTAATCGTCACACACAATTAGAATGGTGATTCAAAGTTAACTACAAGTGTCTGTTGTCAAATCCCGTGGTAAGTGAGGTTATAAATGAAAAGCAAAACTTTTGAACAATGAAAAGGAATTCTGAGTCGTGGATATTTCGTTCCGTTTTTGACTTACTTGTGTTGCGTTCTTGATATTCATATTGAAAATCGAACCTAATACATAATAGCTTGCACACTCTATATCATTATCCTCTAAGGTACTGACTGAGTCACGATATCCATTAATTTATTTATAGAGATATGTGTGTATTCCGTTCTTCCAAAAAGGGAATGCGCTTCTTGGAATCCACTATCCGGTATCCAAGAATATAATAATCATTCGTCTAGAAGCAGCATTAAGACATCCGTCTGAGCAATCTATATTTCAACACGGACTGACCAAATTCTGTCTTCAATATCAAAAACGGGAAAACGTAATACCATTACGGACAATTTTTTGGTGATTTTGAGACAAACGAGGGGTATTTTCTCTAGATGGAATATTTGAAGTGAGAAGATAACTTCTCATTGTATATTTTGAATAATTACTTTATCAAATGTTTTTCCTTCTGACGTTCTAAATTTGAGTAGTATTATGTACATGACCTGGTAATTACGTTAGATATCCTAGGTATTTGACTCGAAACTTGCTGATGTCTTAATATGTTATGCTACCTTACGTGATCTTTTAATTGTTTACCGTGAATTCAACTGTGAGTGACCATACCACGTTGAAAGCACCGGTTCTCGTCCGATCACCGCAGTAAAGCAACATTGGGCCCGGTCAGTACTTGCATGGGTGACCGTCTAAGGATACCAGGTGTCGCTAGCTTTAAAAAAGCCCCCAAATGCCCTGGTGTGGCCGAGAGTGGAGAGAGTTTTCTCTTTCTTTCTCTCTCTCTCGAAAATAATCTCACATGATCACGCGTATATAGCTTCTGCCAGGGAGGTTCTACTCACTGCATTCTCGTGGCGGGGGTGTTGTTTACGAAATTGAGATGACGAAAAGCGAATGTTCGGGTTGGTGGACACAGAAAGTCCACCGTGAGAATATATCAAAAGTAGTAAATCATATGATACTAGTCAATAGGTCAAATTAAAGCGTACAATGAAAGGTATATGAATATAATAGTCATACAATAAGAATATATATCATAACAGTCCATAAATAGATCCTAACAGTTACCACTCATTATTCTTCGTCAGGATACAATAATTATCACAACAATTTCTATTTTATATTGATTGTACTTTTACGTGTTGAATGAAACTCATTGATTCCTTTTAACGTATAGAATTCCTTTTATTGTTCATGTTTAACTTTTTCTTATTATCATTTATAAAAAAAATTTTGTTTCTATTTAGAACTATAGATTTATTGAACTTTGAGTAATATATTTATGGTAACAGAAAAAAAGATTATGATTTTGAACTGTATAACTGTAGATCCTGTTGAAGGTCTTATGTTAAGTCGCTGAATATAATTAACAAGAAATTCTTTTTTTTAAGTACTCGATAGGAATTGTTATCATTTTAAAAGAATTCGCGCTTCCTGTTGAATTTGAATGCATATCACTTTGTTTTCAACTTCACAACTTAAAATGTTATTATTGAGTTATTTCCAGGTCATGCTTGATCTCATTTATTTTACTGTACTCATCATCTGATCAATTTCCTTTTGAATATGTTCATTTAATCCTTTTCTTTTTTGTTTTTTTAGATAAAGTTGGCTCGTTCAGAAAATAATGACTATTTTAAAACAAAATTATGCAGTTTAGTTGATCGGAAACCATTCCATGTTCCGAAAGAAATCTTTCGTCTTGTAAATCATATAAATGAATATATAACAGAGGTATGATAAGAACATAATTCCAAAAAAAGATTTACCACCAGCTAATATCAATAAAAAATGATCATTGAACAACATATTTAGCAACTGGTAAACTCAATACCATACCGTTGACCTTCAGCGAACCAACCAGCGTAGAGTTGACATTTTCAGGTTTTAGCGCGGTTTCGCAAACACAGTTGCAAATAAATCTGTTGCTTATACAAATCATATTAACTAGATTTCTCATTTTTGAAAGGTTTAAAGGATTATTCAACAATGCAGGACCTGCAGGAGATCGGTCTTTTGTGAAACAGTATTTTGTCAGATTGTGGTCAGGAAATGAGAGTCGGGAGAACTTACTACGAGCACACTGCAAATATACCTATAGAAAATCCCGACACATTTATAGAGACTGTTTATTCACCTTAATTTTTCTAGATTTTCTTATTGTAAAGGTCATTTTCATCACCTTTGTTCTGATAACTTCAGTTATGAGTTGGAATTTAGGAGTTTTAAGGTTTATAAGTTCTTAGATTGATAAATCGTATCAGTCCTTTTAAACATCTGTGGTTTTGACATTCTTTTATGTTTTAGATAGCTTTCTAAGGAAGCTGCTGCATTATGATTGTTTGTCTATTCACTAATTTTTTCTTGACGTCACTCTTAGAATTGTTGAAAGTCGCCGTTATAGTTTGCTCTTACCAATAATTCAGTTCGTACGAAAGTTTCTATTACTGATTGATAAACATATATCCCTAGTACATTTATCTCTATCATTTTCCTTCTCGGTGTGTTTCACTTCTTCTAGACTTATCAATGTTTATTATTAACAATCTTCTGACCTGGATCGCTAACAGTAGTTTGTTGAAATGGGCTTATCTAAATCCTGTTCAGATTGTTTGTCAGTTAGTGATAAGCCAACAAAGCCTTGTAAAATATTTCTAGAAATTATTTCTTCTCTATTACAATAACAGACTAAGTGATTATGCTAATGAAGTTTATTCTTTAAATAGCTTCCAGTGTAAATTACAATTTGTATTCAAATATCAAATGTGATTTCTATCTAATTCAATGTATGTATGCCCCTTAAACACTATAATTTAATTTTGTTTCCTTCTACTTTTAACAACAATAATAATATATAATAAATTTAATTTCTTTTGAAGCCTGATCTATTTCGTCAAATGGGTCCATCTTCTGACATTGGTATTATACGTGATATATTGGATACAACTCCAGTTAATTGTCCTTTTCGTAAGTATTAATCTACAGAACTGATTTAATATCAGTCTATTTTTCCATTCATTTGTATTGGTTGTTTGACTCTTCACATTGATGTTTAGAACTAAGTGATCAGTCTCTTATTTGCATAACTGTATCTTGTACGGATAGCCTCTATATTCCCTTAAATTCCAAGCATTATAAGCAGAGATAGGTGTTGGCGAAACGCGTGTTTCCTGAATTGTAACAGTTAACTTCATAGTAATTCACTTTCATTTATCCAATTATGTATTTTTCTTAATGATAGCTCATTTGTGTGTGTATGTTTATCGTTTTTCTCATTCTTCTCGTCCCCCCTTTTTCTACTACTGTTTTTCTCTTTCATTTAGCTGAAACAATTTCTGTACATTCAATTTCATCGTGTTTATTATTGTTTTTGAATACACTCCCGGAATCTGTGATACCACAAGAATTTCATGAAAAATGTTTTAATTCATTAGCAAATTTCGAATCTGCTGTACAGGTAAATGTTTGCTTTGTTTTGTTTTTTCAATTTGATTGTTGTCGTTCTCTCTGTGTTTAGTTGCTGTCTCATTATAATTTGTCATGTTTTGTATAGAAAGAGTAATCAATAATCAAAACAAACTCATCATATGACAATCATGCTGTTTTTATTTTTAATGATTTTAATCTGTGAAATGGAAATCATGTTTAGGTTGTAGATTCTCAATTGTAAGCATCTTTGAAACATTGTACATTTATTGCGGAACAGTCGGGGGGGGGGGTTCGGTGTTAGAAATAAGGTATTAGGCAAGGTTGCATAAACCGATCGATAAAGTAGTTAATCTTGATCGGTTCAAGTGTTTATTACTTGTAATACGTATACATAACCATTGCCTATCTGGATAGTTGATGCTTTCTAATGCAGAAGGTAATCGGAAGAAAGCTAGAACCAGTTGAATGAAAACAAGTCTTCAGTTTATGAAGCTACTAAGTGCTGCTATAAACCATAAAGAAAGATGTACATTAGTTAGTCTTCTCAATAACCACGGTCATTTTCGGAAGACATTAGATGATATTGAGTTCCAATATTCTTCCATACAAAAGTTTTTATTGGCCTTTTTTGCAACATTTCCTTAATGTATGTTATTTTTTCAGAGTAATTGGGAAATTATTTCAGCTCCTCTACTGTTCATCTTGTTAGTTTCCTCATATAGTGCTTAAATGCTTTGTCAACTTGGATCCAAGCACATTTGCTCCAGGTGCCACGTTGATTGTGACTAACCAAACCGCCATGCTATTCATAACCCAAAGTTTTCCTTAAGTTGGTTAACTTTAAACAGTCAATAGAAAATCTTTCTACCTTAGTGAGGATTACAACTGATTTGTGACTTGAGATTTGATCTTAAGCTAGTGATTTGCTAAATTAATTAACTTAACAGTATTCTCCACTGTCACACTAAATATGCCGCCAAAATAATGTTGTATGAGAATTTTAGCATTGTTATTTAGCTACACGATTTCACTGTATTTATAATAATGATCAAACATTGTTGACTTTTAAAACAGTTTCAATTTATTTAACACTTACTTACGCCTGTTACCCCTCTTGGAGGAGCATAGGCCGCTCACCAACATCCTCCATCCAACTCTGTCCTGGGCAACCTTTTCCAGTTCTTTCCAGTTTTTATTCACCATTTTCATATCTGCTTCTATTTCTCTGAGTAATGTGTTCTTTGGCCTTCCTCTTTTCCACTTCCCTTCCGCATTCCAAGTTAGAGCGTGCCTTGTAATACACATTGGTGGTTTCCTTAACGTATGTTCTATCCACTTCCAACGTCTCTTCCTAATTTCCTCTTCAGTTGGAAGCTGGTTTATCCTCTCCCATAAAACGCTGTTGCTGTTGGGTATTTTGCGTAAACAACAAGCCCGGGTAAAGGAGGAGGGTTGGGCATGGGGTTAGCGACCCCATCCCGTAGAAAAACTAACTCGCTAAAAAACGCTAACCAGAAAAAGAAATTTATTTAATATTTTGTTACAATTTATAACCCAATGATCTGTCTACTTTAGCTTGTAAACTGATTAAAATCTTTCACAGTGATACCTCACCAAACACCCCATCATATCATTATTGCAAAATTACAATCGAGGTTCACTTATATAACTAGGCAGTAATTAGGTCTATTATTTTTCGTACAAATGAACTGAATTCTATACTACATACAGGTAATCGCTTTATATGGGAATGATTCAGATATTGTTTATTGCTTTTCCTATCTCATTTATACGTAATGAATTTTCTTATTTGATATTTACTTATCATCAATATGTTGTGACCTTTGTGGAAAAAAATAATAATTTTTCTTCATTCCTTTTAAATACCCAGGCTTTACAGCATCTTCCTATTTGTAATCAAAATTTATTTTATTATTTAATTACATTTATGCAACGTTGTTTGACTTTCAAAGAACAGAATGGTACAGATATTGATCTACTTGGTAAGTTAAGTGAAGATATATTATTACCATAGAAAGTTTTTGAAAATTATTAATTAGACAATCATTTTAAATCAGGAAGCATTAAACAATTTTATACCAGCTCCATAGTTGAAAGGTTAATTGTTCACTTCAAAAACCGAAAATTTACACTGCATGGCATATACTACTTAAGTTGATAGATATAAGTAGTTTGTATCAGAAATTAAGAGTATAGAAAGGAAAACAGAAAGCAATTAAAATGACATCAGGGTTCGGAGAACGCTAAAGTTTGTAACAGATAACTGAAGGAAGATGGGAAAATACTGTATTTAATGTGTTGTTTCCATATTTTTACCAATACAGTGTGTAATTTTGCATTGTACAATAGATTGTTTTACTCGACCCAAGTTTTCGTTCATAAAACGTGATTTGAATGATGTTAATTCGTTGGGTAATAAGTAAACCTGATAATTATGTCTTAATTATATAGGTTGGTGAATAATTTATGTAAATAAGCGATTCTCGTACATGAAATAGTTCATCTTCTTTCATTCATTATTCTCTCTCTTGATATCTATTCATTGTGAACTTTTTGTGTCAATTATCCGGATTTGCGTATTGTTGTCACTTGACTATATCAATCTCATGAGTTCAGGTGATTAACTATCCACTCTTCTCAGTTACAAAAACTGTTCATACTTATCCTTTTTAGTCATTTTCCTAATAAAATGGCGTCAGTATATAATATGATTGTATTGTGATTACAGCATTATTCTTTCTTTCTTGTTGTTGTTGTTGGTATCTTAAACTAGCGATATACAGTAAAGAAAAACATGTTTTTTTATCATAGTTTATATCATCAATGGTTTTTAAATTGTAGTTCATTTCCACAGTATAATCGTGGTTACCGTTGCCAGGAAATTTTAATTTTTGTGCTTTGTATAGTGATTTCTTTTTGGATAAGTGATACATATGATAAAGGATATTGATAACATGTTATTGTTTAACAACAATTTAACTCATTGTAACAAGATCTAGGCGTTTACAAGATATCAGATTGTGCCTGGAACTTGTAGTGATTAAATCTTGAATCTTGTGAGTTCGATCCTTTATTAATCATCCGAGTTTTATTTCAGTTTAGGTTTATACAGATAAACTAATTCACAGATTGTTTGTTCTCCATCACATCTTATTTTAACTCCTATTGTATATGAATATACATACTCTTTGTCTTGTGACTTCTAATATCTCTCTTCTCCTGTTACCACTATCTTTTATCGCCAGTTAGTTCGGGATGTAGCTACTGCCTGTTGATGATATAGGATAATATTAGTGACGTATCAACTGTTTTCTATTGTTTATTTACAAACGTCACTAACTTGTAATAAATAAACTTCCAAACATCGAAATCACATCAACGGTATGAAGCGATGGCTCAATGGTGAGGGCGTTCGTCTTTGAGTTGTTAGGTTACGGGTTAGCACTGATCAATCTATTTCAGTTTATCAGTGAAACACGTCTATATCTCTCACATTCGTAGCGTGATTAGAATTTCCACTCGGTTTGTCAATTACTTCTGTTTTGTCATTGGTTTTTTTTTCCAGGAAATTTGATCTTTGATAACATTGTAATTGACTTTCTTCTGCTTGCTGTTCAACACGTTCCATTCACTCACCTTGTTTTCTTTCTTTCTTTACACAGCTCCATGTTTTGGTGAGATATTCTTTCTTGAATCGTCGTCGAACACAACAACAGCTCAAAAACATGCTGTTGCAATGAAACAGCTTAAGCGAGCCGCTTTCATTAGCATTTTTCTCCGTCAAAATTATTTCATTTCTAATCCTTCACTAGTGTCAACATCTCAACACTAGTTCATAGTAATAATATTATTATTACCTTTTCTAAAACAAATAGCCTTTTTTCTGTCAATAATGACAAAATCTATTTTTTATTTTTCTGTAGTCTCATCTATTTTGTTATTTGTTGTCAATTTGAGTTTTGTCCCTTTTTTCATATTTCAGTTTATTTTTTTCCCTTTTTTCATTACTATAGTCTTTCTGGATAAATAATAATAATAATATTCATTCCTTTAAATTTCATTTCACAATTCTCAGAGTTTTCCATGTATGTGTACACCTCAACCATTCTTTTTTTTGTTGAAACAAAAATAGAATAATACAGGGAAACAATTTTCAAACTGCTGATATTTTCCCATGAATTCTATTATCATATTACTGTTATTACGTAATAATAATAATAAACTATACTGTACGATAATATTCTTTCATGTTAGTCATAATAGTAATATTGATAGACTATAATCTCATGATGTAAAGACGACTATTTGTAATTCCATCATTTCCATTTCTTAACAATCTCAATTGATATCTAAATGAACTAGCATTCCATAATTTTACGAATGACGATGTGTGTCTGTTAAAGATAAATGAAGGAGAGTGAAAATTTTCATACCTTGCATAGAGTGTTTCTTTTTCTGTTGTCTATGTTTATTGCTTGGTTTATTTTTTTTGTTTTCTTGTTTCGTCATTTATTATTATCATTATTACTATTATTATTATCCTGTCGTTTATACGACGGTGGTTCTTTTTTTCTGCGTTTAGTCATGTTATTTAAGAACAAGATCAAAGTGATGAGAATATTTTTCAAGATATGAGATTGATGTGGTAAGAACCTTTGTGATTCACTCTGTTTCACTAAATTACTGTTATAGAAGAGTATCTTATCTAAGAGTGAGATAAATTTCCTATTGGTAAAATGGAAGAATGGAATACTGGTTAATAAATGATACTCAAGTGATGGCTATTGACGGAAATCAATTTAAATTACTTGATTCATCAAATGTTTTAAAATCAAATATACAACTACAATTGATACATAATTGATGGAAAGCAGTTTCATAGGTGGTTCACTTTCCAAACGATCACGTTCCTGGCCATCGTATCTTTTACCTAACGTTGTGACAGAAAGCATTCGTAGGAATGTGTTCGTAAAGTTCCCTGCTTGTCAAGAAGAGATGAGAGATATTCATGTATTTATGACATGAATCTCCACAACCTCATACTGAAAATCGTCATGCGCCACCCAGAAATTATCTTCGAGAGGAAATTTGAAGAGTTCCAATGAGATGTGTTTAGTGAAATTCAGCTGTATCGATTGTGGCACTAATCCACTAGAGATAGTGAAATGGGTTCGCTAAACTTCAGATATTTATTGAAGTTAGAGACTAAAACCATTGAATACTGACTTAGTAGTCTAGAAGCTAGACGTTTGTCCTCAAAAACGAAAGTCGTGACTTTATCTCCGTGTGCAATCCTGGGATCCCCCTACTAAGCGTTCCCATACTTGGACAAGACTACCGTCTAGTACGTCCAGATTTTTAATGGCGGTTCCAGTTTGGTCGGTTCGTGATTTAAACGAAATCTAACCATATGATAATGTACATTGAACCCTTTATTCAGTGCACCTTGCGCTTCCATATTTACTTGCAACATGATGATTCTTTGAGTCAACAGTGTCTGAATATGTCGTATGTATTTGAACGCTGTCACCGAAAGAATGACGAGCAGGTAAATATAGGCTAGTTGTTGGTTTATAGAGAAATACTTATCACATTACTCTGTTTATACTCGACCTCCGATGTTATTCTCAACTTACAATCGTATGGATAAAAATGAGTATATTACCTGAAAGTGTAATAAGTATAAAGCAGGAACGCTGGAGATTAACGATATACATGTATCTGAATAAAAAGTAACATGTCTAAGCGAACCCTTAGTTTTATAGACGTAACAATGTTTTCAGAATGAACTCAAATTCCGATTCTATTTCATGTTGTCTGATGTTATCAAGAAACCCAGAAGATTTTCTACGAAATATAAGGACATGTCAGGAAACATTCGAAACGTTTTTTATTGTAATATTCAAAGCTGAGTATTACAACGATTGTTGGAAAGAATCTGGATACGACAAAAAATTGATAAAGGAATTTGTAACTAGGGTTATATGTTTCATTAAATTAATTATAAACAGTGATTTCAGTATTTTTATTAACAATTGCAATGAAGACATTAAAGATCAATTCTACGATAGGTTGCAGTCAATCGTCGAGAAGTGCTCGACAAAGGACCTGACCATTCTGATTAGAGATTTAAATGCGAAGGTTGGAATGGACAACACTGGGTATCAATGCATCATAGGACGATATGGACTGGCTGGGAGAAGAGAAGGAAAATGGTGAGAGATTCGCAAAACTATGTGCCTTCAATAAACTGGTCATAGGTGGTACCATATTCCCACACAAATGCATTCACAAAACACGTGGACTTCACTGGACCACACTACACAAAACCAAATCGACCATACCTGCATCAACAAAAAGTTATGGAGGATGTGAGAACCAGGAGAAGAGCTGATGTAGCATCAGATCAACACTAGCTGTTCGCCAAGATGACACTAAAACTAAAAAAGCACTGGACAACGGGGCGGACAACATCACAAAGTTTAACACGGCTTTTCAGGATACTGACAAATACAGCAAATTCAAGATAGCCCTCAACAATAAGTTCCACGCCTTTCGTGATCTACTCAATGGAGAGGGAACTACTATGGAGAGCAACTGGAAAGGGATCAAGGAGGTTATAACTTCAACATTTAAGGAGGTTCTGGGCCACAATAAGCAAAATTACAAGGAATAGATCACTGTTGATACACTGGATATGATTGAAGAAAGGAGGAACACCAAGGCAGCCATCAATACCAGCCGAACAAGAGCAGAAAGAGTCAAGGCACAAGCCGAATACACAGAAGCAAACAAGCAAGTGAAGAGGAGAACTAGAAGCGACAAACTTAATTATGTGGATGATTAAGCAATGGCGGCGGAAAAGGCTGCAAGAGAGGGAAACATGAAACAACTGAATGACACAACAAAGCACACTTGGGGCGGAAACCTGAAGAACTATGGAAGCCATCATCCAAAAGATACAAGTGTTTATTAACAGTTGTCTACACGAAATAATTCGTATCCGTTGGTCAAACACTATCAGAAACAGTATACTATAGAGAAAAACAAACCAGATTCCAGTGGAGGAGGAAATCACGAAGAAGCGCTGGAAGTGGGTACAACACACATTCAGAAAATCACCAAACTGCGTCACAATGCAAGTTCTCACATGGTATCCTGAAGGCCAAAGTAGAAGAAGAAGACCAGAGAACACATTACGCCGAGAAATGGAGACAGACAAGAGAAAAATTAACAAGAATTGGATAGAACCAGAAAGGAAGGCCAAGGGCAGAGAGGGTTAGAGAATGTCGGTCGTCGGCTGTGATCCATTAGTAGTAGCAGGTGTAAGTAAGTCTGATTCATTATTCTGATTATACATTCCAAACGTCATTATATGTTACTTTTCAATGAGAGATTCTGTAAAATTATGTAGGTTCTATGCATAAATTTGTGATTGTAGCCTAACGTTTTCATAATCACATGGAAGATATTTATGTTTTGGCGTCACGAGGCATTTGAAAGGTAACAGTAAAGTGAATGATTGAGTGTGACTTCATCGTTCATTATCAATAGAAGATCAAGCAAGTGCACACTTATACCTATTTTCATTCTTCATCTCACGGAACATTGTGAACAATGATGTTGAAACTTTAACAGATTGTCTTACCTCATTTCTAGAACGCGTCTGATAATAGGGATGTTTGATAAGTCTTTCCTCAACCTTAAATATGAAACTGTGATCGACCAAGAACATATCAATTCCAAAAACATGGGTAAAGCTATCGCGTTCAAAAATCAGCGTATTATTATATGAAATATAATCTGTACACACAAGAATAATAAACAGGACGTTACTTAAATTGTCAGGAATTGGCGCGTTCGAGTTTCTTTTGACCTGGTAATCCATAACTGCTATGGTTTGAGATGTATATCCAGGCATCTTATGAGAATTTCACTGTGAACTGTAAACGTAGATTGCATGTTTATTAGAGTTCAGTTATGAAAACAACAAACAACTGAGAATGGGAGACATGGGTGTGTAGCATTGAATTTATGGGTGGCTACTAATGTGTCGTGCTACGCTTACTTACTTACGCGTAACGACCTTTGCAGAAGAGCATAGGCAGCCTACAAGCACTCTCCATCCAACCAGATTATGGGCAATCCTTCTCAGTTATTTCCAGTTGCTATTCATCCTTTTCATATCTACTTTTATTTCCTGGCGTAATGTGTACTTTGGCCACCCTCTTCTCCGCTTCCCTTCCGGATTCCAAGTTAGGGCTGATGGTAAATTTGCTGCCTTCGTCTGTATTTGTTCGTGTTTATGAGATAGGAGGGCTAGGCAATCTGCGGAGTCAAAATCGTCTAATTGGTTCTGAGATGCTCACTGTATTCTGTGTTTCCCCCCAGATGTCAAGGTGTTTATAATCCAGTTAACCTCCAGAAGGAAGAGGAAGGGGGAGAGTAGACAGCCTTGTCTGACTGTGGTTCTTACTTGGAATACATCTGTCCTCCATGTAGGACTATGCACTGTAGTTTGTCGTATGAATTCCGTATGATGTTGACGATTTTCTCAATTACACCATGGTGTCAAAGGAGTTTCAACAGGCTTCCTTCCACACTGTCAAAAGCAACCTCATAGCCAATGAATTTGATTTGTCGTGACGAATTTCATTCAATTAATTGCTCAATAATGATCGGTAATATCGCGATTCTGTAGGTAAATAGAGGAATAAAAATCACAGTTTAATGAAATTTCGCAATTTTAAATTAACAGCAAATTCTTTTTTCTAACCGACAATATCAGGTGATATATAAGATTGTTAATAACGTAATATTTCTTGACGATTTAGACGGTAGTTCATGATGAGATCTCCATGTGACCATCCACCATAAAAAAAGCACTAAATAATTATTTAATACTTCTTATCACTGGAAGTTAGTGCTATAAAGCGCCTAACTAGATCCTTTACTCAAGTGATTGTGAGGTACATAGGTGCCCACAAACACATATCTTCGATGTTATACGTTGCGTAGCTCAATAGAGTATCAAGTTATTTCAACTGATTTCCATCTTTCACTATTCAGAATTATATTCACTCAGGAATATTCACTCAAGATCCAATCGGATGCTATGTCTCAGCCTCGCAAGCACGGCCATTCTCGTGTGACATATTTCTTTTATTCATATCAAATATGTTGTTTTATCTCCAGCCTAAATGTGTTCTCCACCATATATTGGTGATGATTAGGATAGGAGGAAAATGATGTGACTTACACGTAAGATCTTAGGCAGTCACATCATGACAAATCTACAATTTTGGGATTAGGTCTATTATTAGAGCAGTACTGATAACTAAGGAGATCATAATTATACAAATACAACACTAAAGCTTACAGCGTCGAAAGCTGAAGCACACCAATGTCAGAGATATCATTTGAGGCCATCATGTACCCCCCGTTTCTAAAATTCACTGTTGAAATTCAGAAATAATATAAATATATATAAATAAATATAAATATTATAAAATTGTTAAAAGTCATTAAACGTCAAATAATTTCACAGGTGTTCCAAATAGACGTAATGATAATAGAAGATGAACGTAAATCAACGATTTGAAACTGGACGTCTGAAAAGTTTAGACAATATTATTCCATCATCCAAAAAATTAAAGACGTTACAAAGATGGTACATTCAGCGAGCTTGAACCAACCCGGTTAGTTGATCAAAGAACAGAAGGTGATCTAAGCACTAGATACAACATACGGAGGATTTAGGCTAGCTCGACTGCCCATCGATTATATCGCTTTAATGACTCTGATCAAGTGCACTCAAATGTACTCGAAATACTCTAGTCTAACAAAGACTTTTAGAATCACTCCCTTTTATAGAAATGAAAGGTCAAGCTCTTTGCGTTAGGTAAGAAGGACATGTAACTGACTTTTCAGATCAAGACATAGCCAAAAATAAGTTACTTGTTATTGTAGTGCATTTGTAACCCCACTTATATATGGCACTATGAAGTTTTCCTCAATCCATGGTGCTTTTGACTTCTATTGGGCGCATTCGAATTGTGTTCTGTTTTTTCCGTGCTTCTGTTTCTCTAATTCCCTGTGAAATTTTGCTCTGACTGCTATCCATGCATACAGAGTGCCTTCAATTTAAACGGAGACTATTGGAGATATGAGCTCCTTACCGACAATTAAGAGCCGTAAAATGACAAAAAGAGGCGTAAGTAGAGGAATCCAACGGTTTATACACACTCTTCATCGAGATATTGGATATTGGTTGAACATAGTGGATATTGAACAAGTTGAGGAAATTTGATAGACTAACGACTTAACGTGTAAAGTCTTGGAATTGCTATTTATGTGAACCTAATGGCTTTTGGAAACACCTTATCACGCACTATACAAAAGTATTTGAATCTGCATTCATTAAGTGCATCTGAACAGTTTTCCAATAACAACAAGTCAGAAAGGAGTCAGCAGATAGTCAGTGATAAGTTGTCTTTAAAGAATTGTAAATTAGACGCATCAGAAGACTTGTGTAACGTCGTGAGTTGTCTTGAATGTTTATTGTTCTTTTAAGTCAGACTGTTCTGATAGGGTTTTGTAAAACTTACCCATAATTTTAATTGTAATAATGGGTGAGTACATGTACTTAATGTTATTATAATGGATTTTCGTAATAATGATTCAGTTACTTTCACACTCACATACAAAATGTTTTTTTACTGCTTCATCTTGAAAGCGGTGGGTTAGGTGGATATATGCATATGTAAAACAATGGTTTCCGTCGTTCATTATTTAGTGTTCGGCAAAAATGTTTTTTTCAGTTTCTGCAAAACTGGATTCTATTGCCTTTACTCAACTTTTATATGTAGTAATCATGCATCCGGCCTTTTTGACTTAATACAGATCCTTGTAGTCCTCCACAAAGTACTGGTTTCCAGGTGGAGCACTGGTAATTTGTTCTTTCTCTGTACAAGCTACTGAGAAATCCCTAAGACATATTTGGAGAAGTCCGACAATGCCTGGATTTTTCAGCTTCAAGAGTAGTCTATTTTTGGCACATTATCAAATGCCTTTGTTTTTATTTATTTATTTTATTTTATATATTTATTTAAACATATAAGCATTTGTGCACGGAGGCACCATATAGATATGCGCGACATAAATCATTCGATTTATGTGAGGGCCATGATACTATCCGGGTTCCCAAGCCGAAGCATGTGGTATTCTTAAGGAACTACACCCGTAGCCTTTGACCTGAAGGTCTAGTGCACAAATCAGTGGTGCAACGTAAGAAGATGCAGTTCCATGGTAGCCAGCGCTCAATAATTGGTTCATACGCCAAATGTTTCCTTAGGCTCTTGGAGCTCGTACACACCATTGGTTTGGAATCAAGGTTTTTCATTTTCTCTAGGTATATCCTCCGTATTATACAACCCAGACATTCAGTTTTCGTCCCCTCAATTTCTTAAACAACACCCCTATCGCAAGAAGGCATTGAGTAGGGTTTTCGCGGCAAGGATTGTATGCACATGGCTGTGTGTGAGAATTTGGAGAGGGAGAGCTGACTCTCCCCGCCTTCAGCCGCACCACAGCATTTGGGGGCATCCACTGCGTATCCATTACCTAGAGCTTCTATCCATTTCTCCCTTCCTATGGGGAGATTTATTGTGGAAGATGACTATGATAATCAGAAGTATTTGAATTGTAGTATAAACTAGTAATCCCAGGAATAACGCAATTTAATCAAGAAGTATTAGATGAGCCCGAACGAATGTATTGTATTTGGAATTCAAAATTACAACAGTCATCAATACCAAGAAGTCATTGATTTATTTAAACACCACAACCGCCACAGCTCGAATTGGAGTGTAAGTTTCTGTAATCGATTGTTCGTCTTCTTAAGTTCATCTTACATCGGTCCGAAAGTCTATTTGATGTAGACTCTGTATTATCTAGATTGCACTCATTAGCATTAGAATTAACAACCGAAATTGGAACAGACTCACCTGGGTTCTGGAATTGTATACAATCAGCATGTTGGTTGTGTAGTGAAACCATTGATATTTAGAATTTGCATCATATACTTTCCAACAATATCCTCCCCCACGAAATAATGTTGGGTCCTTACGTCGCAAAAATTTAGCCAATATGACATTCCCAATTTGCAGTATCTTCTCAAATCTCATGCATCGACTACTGTATGTGAGTATTTGGGGATAAACACTGATATAGAATTCGAGGTATTCCATCATGTGACTTTGACTTGAATAAAAATCATGATACATATTATTTTTGTTATTCATATTAGAATACACAGATGGGTATGCATTGATATGTGTAATTAACGCATGTGATTCATCTAGGCTTGATTTGCCTGCGAAACAATCGAATGCAAAACATTCATCTGCTTCATACTCATTAAGATAATCTTGGACTTGATTTGGATTCTCTGTCTGTACAAACTTCACTTCTGGGCAAACTGGTTCTCTGGTTGATTCGGGAAATTTTGCTTTCCCGTCTGATTCATCGTACCACTGACTAGAGATTCTACTCGAAACACATTGTTCGTGAGAATATGCAACATCTGATACAATAACATCACAAATGTGACTAGAATTCGACTCATTAGGAACATATTTGTCACATTCATTAGGGATATCATTAGAAATAAGTTGATTGTGAGGACCACTGACACTCGATATGATATCAGAATCCGACTTCTCTGAAATATTTTCCTCAAATTGAATAAGAGTTTCACTAGAGAATAATGGATCATTCGAAAAATTAGCATCTACCAAAAGTGAATCCGGTTTTTGCGCATGATTCGACTCATTCAACATTTTGTTCTTAGAGTTGTAAGAAATTGCATCAGAAGTATGTGAATTATTACGACAAACCATATCTGGCACAATAACATGAAAAATCTGATAAGTTGGTTAGCTGGGAATTTTCGTCTCCCAATGACTCTGGGTTTCATTCAACTCTGGACTGTTATATAACGTTATACCTCTTCTAGATAAAGATAAATGATCATTAGAAGCATCCATCTTAGCATTACTTTCAGCAAAATGAACCATGGTATTACAAACTGACTGAGTGTGTCCAGTTATATAACATTTAAAGCATTTAGAATTACGAAATATACATGAATTACAAGTGTGAAACTTGCCACAGATCAAGCATTTACTAAACTCGTGCTCATCTTCATGAACTGTTTCACAGCTCAATGAAGTACTATCTGAATAACTTTGATTGCGCATCGAACTGCGACGACTTATTGAAGACGTGGAATCCCTGATGTTCTGGCGAGTCATTTTATCGAATTTCTCTCTCCTACCGCATTCGGAATTTGTATACTTTACATGATCCAACAGTAGTTGCTTGAGAGTTGCATAAGGGAGTGAAATCGGTTTGTCTGGAAGTGCCAAAATCTTTAAAAAGCTGTATGCTTCTTTTCCGATGAATGTAAGAAAATGGTCCACAATATTAAAATCTTCATCATCTTCCTTGGTCATAGCCCAGATTTCGAACCTCTCCATGTACTCCTCAAAAACATTAAAATCTGAATTTATATCCAACCGTTCCATCACAGACTCAATCGCGACACCAATATGATCAGAAGTATTTGAATTGTAGTATAAACTAGTAATCCCAGGAATAACGAAATTTAATCAAGAAGTATTAGATGAGCCCGAACGAATGTATTGTATTTGGAATTCAAAATTACAACAGCCATCAATATCCAGAAGTCATTGATTTATTTAAACACCACAGTGACCCTTTTCTGAAACCATGTTGTTTGCTGTTTAACAAGTTGTTGATTTCCACGAACGACATTGTAGTCTTTTTGATTAACCTTTCCAGCACTTTAACTACAACATTGGTGGGGCTGACAGGTTTTTAGTTTGGTGGGAGTTTTGTCAATCCCATTTTATGTATTTGAGCAAAAACTGCATCTTTCCAGGCCGTAGGTGACTCACTTTGACCAATTGACATATCGAATATTGTAGTTATGCTAAAATAATTTCCTTTAGCCAATTTGTTACTGGAGTTTATTGAAGTTACAGTTGCTAGTTGCCAAGTTTGCCTAAGCTGCAAAGAATTTTGTCCCTCATTTATCAAAACTTACTGAACTACACTTTGCCAATAATTTCGATCATTACAAACTAATAATTTTATATTTAAGTGAAACAGTGATATTCATTTTACAGATTAACTAGCGTTTGAAAACCGAGTGTTCGTAAATATAAATATTCCCTCATACAGCCCACTAAAGCACCAATCGAAAGTTTTCAAGGATTTCAGCCATTTGGACAGATGAAAAAATTTTGGTTTTATACCTCTTGTATTTTAGTCTCATATCTGATATATCTGGGGTAGATATTTACGCGTTTCTGCGTAGTTTTTGACGTTTATTGTATTTACTTGGAACATTTTATAAGTGGTATAATTTTAATGCTACATATATGGTTTTATAATTTTAAATCAGTTTTATTCGTAGTTTAATGAATTTTGAAAATATGTATTGAATGTGTGTTTGAAATTAGCACTGTACATACTCTTTCACACTTAATTTATAGTTAATTGATCTTAAAAAGTGGGTTTCTGTATCTTTAGCTAGTTTAAACCAGATTATGTCACTTCAAAATAAGTGATGCCGATGATAGTTTAGTTAGCAACAAAATTCTTTTTGCTTATACTGTTTTTCATTCTATTATTGTCTCTCTAATATTCATTTTGAAAACTTAGTTACCTTTAAAAATAAGTAACCAGGAGTAATGATTATCATTCACCGTTGTTAATAAATAGGACGAAAGTATTTTTAATAAATCGAATCTAGTACTCAGAGGATTAGTGATAAATAAGCAAAAATCGCTCGAAGTATATTCTAACCTTATAAAACAATCATTTTTTTACTAGTTTATAATCCCACTAAATCTTTTTCAGCCACTAGAATCCATACAAACTCTCACCTCTCTATCAGTATAACAGTTGATATTTTGGTTTGCAGACGTGGGCATTATAGAAATTGTGGTAACATGAAATTTAGTTGAAAACAGAAAAGTTTCATGTTATAATAATTAAATTTCACAAATGCTCATTTTGACAGTGATATTGAGTTTAAGGAAGCTTAAAAAATCAATAGGAAAACTGATCGCACTGGCGAATCGTTTGCAAACCCCCAACAGTATCCAAGTAATCATTTTTATAAAATCTGCATAACGTATGATAGAATTTATAAACAAACAAGAGGAACATTCAAACTTGACCAATACTGTAAGATTGACTCATTTGTTTTGACAAATATCCATATTTTACTTTTTTTTTATGTTGCTTTCCTTCTAGGCGTTCCCTGTCTATGTTAACGAGTACGGAAGACATTCGAGTGTTATTGTATCCGTTATTAAAAATCAACCTTCTAAACAAAGCGCGTATGTCTGAATATGTCCAGACAATAACCTCTTTCAAATGGACTTTTGAAAGAATCTCTTTGTTTACTTTTTTCACAATTTCTATTTCAGGCCGAGATTAATCTAATGTAATAACTTATTTTCTTTTGACTAAGTATTTTAAACATAGATACTTAGACAAATTCGCCTTAATGAAACTGTTTTAAACCCTATTAAGCAAATGATAGATTAATTTGATTTTATGATATTTCATCAACACAATATCGGCCTACAAAAATAATCATGTTCCAAAAATCATAATCGCCAATTAAAGATTAGGAAACAAATTGTTTTTAAAAGTATGATTGTTTCTATCGACTTAGTTTTTAGAGTTATTTTTTCTTGCACATACGTCATATATATTTACATATTAAATTGTTACTTCTTATTCCTCGTACTGTGATTTTGTGCTCATCGTCATAGTTTCATATCTACTACGTGGAACACAATAGTTCGACGCAAAGCAAAACTGATGTGGAAGGATTTGAAGTTTCATAAGTTTTAATAAGACAAAAAACGTTCAAATAGTTTATGTATCATGGTAATGTAGAGCAATTTCTTATAGGATACTACAAACCAGTACAATAGGAAAGAAAAATAAATTCGTTTTGGCTGTAATTAGGGCTTTAACAGCATTGATTTCACTCTGCGTTTTAAAATTCGTCTAGGCTCCTTATCTGTCTTCATGATCTGAGTATTTGAATGATTATATATATATATATATATATATATATATATATATATATATGCAGACAATTAAGTTCGAGATCTCAAAATAGTAATAATTGGAGATACAGTATAATACTATTCCAAAAAATATCACAGTCTAGAAGACTGAACGAATATTTTAGCAAAGCAAGTATCGACAAATTTCTCTGAGATCCAGGAAACTTTAATTGCATGGTCAGCTTTTGTCTTAAGTCAGTAAACATCAGTCAATCAAACAATTTTGTTTCGAAAGCATTCATTTTGCTTAGATCTCTTCTTTATTTACTTTGTTTTATAAAATAACTAATGAATGTCAAATATTGACTTGATGACTTACAGACCATGATATAGATTTAGGCTTGATCCAAGAATTTTTTATTGTTGCACAGATCTGTGAGCGAAGCAGTTAGCCGTTATCCACATTTGGAAGTTTGGAAATTGTAGTTTTGAAAAAGGAGATTTATCTTAATTATAGAAACTTATTTTAGATATTTTTTTCTGTTACTCTCAGTAACATGCTTCACATATCTTTTAACGATTATATATTTATTGTTTTCAGCATTTTCATTTTTACTCGATCACAAAATTCAGAATTGAATCAAACAGGTTTGACTTTACGTGATTTAATTCTATTGAATGATGAATTCAGTTGTGAGGTAGGTAAGTTTCTAATAAGTTATTATTAATTAACGTTGACATGATAACTGTTCTTTAATGTTTTTTCAAACATTTAGTCTAAATCACTAGCTCATAATGTATGTAAACCTGGAATAACTGGCTGTGGTTAAAATATCTAGATTAATTTTCTGAATAAATATATGTATATATATGCATTATTTAGGCACGTAATCAGACTTTTTATGAAGAAAAGATGAATGAGCTATGAACATAAATTATCCGTCTGATTTCGCACATCCTACTTAGGCTAACCTCGTTTGGGCGATAGTGGTGATAAAATGTCGAATACGAATTAAGCTGGACGGATTAATTTTAAGTACTCGTATACTCAGAAAGATGCTAAGTTGAGAGATGGAGAAGGTCAAATCACCAACTCAATTTAATTAAAATGCGACTCAATATTTAAAGGCATGAAAGATCTTAAAATATCGTCACATCGTATAATGATACAAACATACTGAAGGTTACACATAAGATTGACAAAATGACTGAAAATATAAGAATAACTCATCCGTCTAAAAAATAAAGATAAATCGTGTAGGTACCTAGTAGTGCTATTTGCGATAATAGATATGTATACTAACTACTGTTATTTATATTTTTCTTTATGAATAAGGAATGCAAGATTATCAATCAAAATCTAAAAAATTCCCAATTGATTTAATGTTATCATTACGTCTCATGAAAAAATATCTCTTTTCAAGTGGATTATTTAAAATGAATAAATAAGTCTTTTTGTATCATTTCAATAATATAAATAAACACTAGAGTCTGAAAAGCATATTTAACACAAATATGAATATGATGAAATTTCCAGAATTTCATGATATATTGCTTCAAGACTGTGTACCATTTAAAAAATGTCAGAATTAAGATGGAACATCTGTATAGTTCCTTTTTATTTTAAATAGTTTGCAGACTAATATCAATTTGTAATGAACACTATGTCAGTGTAATAAAAATATCAGTCACTTATATATTGTAACATTACATCAAGATTGAGAGGATTATTCATAGATTATATATTATTGTACAGATTTATTATGGTGGATAATAAACTTTAATGTATTTACTGACTAGATCTTTACTTCAGTAATGATTTTTTTCGATCTGGAATAATTTCTTAACATTAGAGATCTAAGTAGGTTGTGTGAACTCGGTTATTTTTATAACTTTGTGGTGAAGTACCCTAATGTACTGAAAACACTCAAGTTTATTATTGCATAAATAAATATAGGATTCATTTTGCTAGTACTTACAAGAATGTTCTTCACATTCTTCTGTTTAAAGAACCTCAGAATAACTAATTATTAATTGAGTTAGACTTTTGATTTGTGACATGAATAACGTTTGGCCCACAATCAATTAACTTGTAGCTCTGTGTTTGTTGGTTTATGAGTAGTTTGGAAGAAAGTTTGGTTCGATCCCTAGTGGGATGTATAATGTTGAATCCAATATTAGGATAAAACAACTGTCCATTGCTTTCAGGCGTTTAATGACTGTTTATCCAAGGTTTCTGTGTCATATGGACTGTAAAACGTCTGAGTGTTTTCCTTTAGGCATTTAATACAGAATGTAAATTGCTTGGAATTTTAAAATAATTTCAGTGATTGATTACGACAGACCCAAATAAATTAGAGAATAAATTCTATTGTTTAAATTTTGGACTCATTCACTATAAACCCTGGTAATCACTTTAGCTGTTGATTAGATTTCAAGAAATATGACATTGCACCTTAAAATAATTAATGTTTTGAATTATAATACGTTTAATTAATTAAATAGCAAAGATTAAAATTCCAATAAGTAGTATATGAATTAACGATGACAAATTTCGTAAGTAATGATACGACAGTTAGTAGAATATTAAAAATTTAGCAGAAAGGTGAATTTGATCTAGTTGTGCGCAAAGTATTGAATAAACAGTTAAATAGCTTCATTGAAGTTATGAACCAATCAATGTCAGACTGCCATTGAAAACCTAGAAGTTGGACATTAAAACTGTTCGATGCTGCCTCGGTGGTCTAGATGTTTCTGCGAGACCGAGGGTCTTGGGTTCGAATCTCACGTGTGGGATCGTGAATGCGCACCGCGGAGCAGTCTCTTACTACAAAAAACGACCATCCAGTGCTCACAGGTTTTCAATGGTGGTCTGACATCGATTGGTTCGTGATTTCAATCAGATTCAATAATCTTCACAATCCTTAACTGAAAATTAAATAGTTCGCATTTAAAATCTGTAAGCTTACATACACAATATTGTAAGTGACTAAAACTGTATTAGTTTATCTAATTTCTTCTTTGTACTGACTATTCATAAAGTATTATTCTATAAGATTATTATGTTCTTGATGTTGGTCAGCTTACTGAACTAGATGGTTCAATTGTTGAACGTTTATTGTCAAGCTACAATGAGAATGTTGTTTAGAGTGACAGTAAAAAGGTCAGTATTCAAATCGTTTGGCGTAAGAAAATTTTAACATTTGCAAAAACGTCTACCAAAGCTACAAATATTCACTATCATCATTAATCCCAATGTTTAGCTTATTGGAGTATTCAAAATTAATATATAATTTAACATGACATAAAATAAAGTTAATGTTAATGTGGTATATCTTAAAAATTTGGTTTCATTAATTAATTAGGTCTATGATGATAGAACTTAATCCTTTTACCAATGAATTCCATTATTCCTCTTTGGTTACTTTGAAAACACAACACTTTTCATTTAATCACTGGTTTAAAATTTAATTGTGAATACAAATAAGGGAACAAACTTATACAATACTTGGACATTATTCAAGAATTGGCAACCAATAATTACTCGTATATTTTTATGGTGCTCATTTGTATTTGGTTTAATGAACAAAGTACATTAGTATCACAGATCTTTTTTAAAAAGAGAATTACGACAAAATAGATTAACAAAACAAAAATTCCGAATGAAGAAACCAGGATTGAAAGGATTAGAAAACGTATTTAGTTAATATCAGGTCTAAGAAGCGCTAGATAATCCGCCATCAGTTATTTTTGCTCATATCATCATTAATGAGTGTCTGAACTATACCGTTACTATGCAATAGGTTTGCGAAGATTTTTGGATTTTATAATTAGCATTACAGACTATACGTGATTAAACAGCCGTTGAAAAACCAGCAAGAACTAAACAGATATCTTAATATAGTAGTCCTCAGTGTTGCCTATCCAAAATCCTGTCGGGAACTTAAAGATCCTGGGCCCTATCCTCTATGGTGCTGTTGACGGTCACAGTTGAAGACTGATATATTAGGAAGAAATGACTTTAATGCTCCTTGACTCTCAATGGCTATATAAATCAGGTCACTTTGTGATGTTAACCATAACACTATCCCATTGTTGCTATTTGGGACAGGAATTTGATCAGTTCTTTTTGGGATAAGTTTATCCTATGAGGATTCCGTCGGTTATGGTAAGTTTCTCACGAGCTTTTTATGAGAGATGAATTATGGCTAGCAGTGAAATCCAGTAAGTGCAGTTTATCCTATTTGAAAATCCTGATTAATAATGAGATAATCATAACCTTTCTAATAACAGTATAAATAAAATACTTGTTGAATAAATTATTGACTTCTTGAACTCAATAGCTCAGTGAATGATGTTTTATGACTGGAAGAGTAAGTTTCTATATTCATCTCTCCATATGAACATCAACAGTGAAAGATAAGTTGGTCAAGCTGTGGTATCCTATATAAGATGAAATCGATCTCTTGCATTTTAATCCTATTCGATTGTATTTTATTTCTTCTACTCATTATCATAGTTGATTGTTTTGTGATGTAACAATATTCCTTTTGCAGTAGATGTAAGATTTGATACTATCACCAAATACAGTATTCATTTATCGTATTTAATTGTATTTTACTTAATTAGATGAATCTGATCATATTTATATAACTGGTAGACGATGGTTATTGAATCATTATCATCAAAATAATCTATCAATAAATGAAGATTTGAATCATAAAAGTCAACATAATGCTTCATTTAAGAATAATAATAGTAATATAAATTATGATAATGAATCTATTCTGATTGGTCATGTGGATTCATTAAAACATTATAATAATAATAATATTCAAATGAAAGTTGAAAATGGGAAATCTCAATTTCGTGTAAGTTTTTATAATGAAAAAATTTTAAGATTTTAGATATTTTTAAACGATGTATAACATTACATTAGAGTTAATTCGATCATAATATTTTCTTTGTCAGTTAGCCGAAATGCAGAACCTCGTAGACATGTCAGTCAACTCAAGTTGCCATACCCCCCCATTAACACAGCGCAATCAAATTGTTAGGGTAAATCCCAGAGTAGTAGAGGTAGTAACAGTATTAGTGGTATTAAAGATATGATCTAAGGATATATGAATTAGTGAATGAAAGAAATTACGATGGATTCATAAGTTTAAGATTTGTGGAACGACAGAGAATGGAGACATCTTCATCTTTGTAAACAATTTTGAGCCATATCATTCAAAGTCTGTAACTACTGGTTATGATAATCACGCGGACCACAATCAGGTAGTCTAAACTTATTAACATAGATCAGTATAATTGTCAATGACTTCATGGACCGGTTCTATGTCTTGATTTGGCTGCTGGTAGCTTTCTTCCAACCTTCTTCCAAATAACATCGCACATCGAGATAGTTAACGATTGGACATACGTGACTGATGTCACAACCACCTTAGTTGATAAAGATATACTACTTTCATGAAAAAAAATGCATACCACCGTTTTATATCTGCTTTAGGATGATCAATAAGCGAAGTTGTAAAATAAGTGTATAGAATATCCTTTTACAATTCCAAAATAGAATGAATCAATTATCTGTCGGTGTTATTGAATACCGATTAGATTTTTAACTTATGCTGATTTATGATGTTAAGATTCTAGAAGAAAGAATGTAAATAGTTTCAAAGTGTTTTTATTAGCTGTGTAGACGTATATAATAAATAATAATTTATTGATTTTTCTATGGAATTACAAAATCGTTTATGTCGGTGTATCAAATTTCACGTAGTACGAACTATTCTAGTGGAGATTATAAACATTTTATTTCTGTTAAACTTGATCTAGATTATGTATGCCTGATATAATGTATACATTATATGTGCATTTCTCAAACAAGATATGAAACAAAATATATTTCTCTCAACCTAATTTCAATATGTCACCCAAAATTGTACAATATTTAAATACCTTTACTATTGAATAGATTTATAGAATTTAAAAACAACTGTTTCCATTTCTATTTGTACTTTAGTCAGCTTAAAGAAACTTGTGAGATGTGATATCTTTCTATTCTTATTTTATGATAATAATATATATATATATATATAAGAAAAGTACTTTTTAATTCTGTCACCTACTAAATAAAAATCTATTTCATTAGATACTTGGAAATTTTGTTAGATATTACATAGAAGCATATTAATTTAAACGTTAATTGATTCGTCTATAAAGTTTAACACTTATTGTTTAATGTATTACTTTTAATGGTATATTGAAATGACAACTGACATCTGATTAAACTAGATTAGTATCAGATGAAAGTTGAATGGTATTATCCTACAAACAATTTTTTATTCGAGTAAATGTTCCGACTGATCAAGCGAATTCAATGAGGTTTAAAATCTCAAATGTATTGTTGAAATAAAAACCGAATACATCTAATCTATCTAAAGAAGAAATGTATGCTCTAAAACAGCTACGTAAACACAGAAAAATTGTTATTATGAGAGCTGACAAGGGAAACACCACTGTTGTTATGAACAATTCTGATTATGAGAAAAAAGTCTATGAACATCTCCACACTGGACCTTATAAAAAAAATCAAGAATGACAAATATAGATCAACTTTGAATAAGTTGAAAGCTGAAACAGCCAAAATGCTACAGACTTTAAAACCCTAACTAGGAGCATCTCTATGGTTTTCTCTATATCTAAAAAGCAACAAACCATGTAGATTTTATGGACTACCTAAAATACATAAAACAGATGTCCCAATAAGACCTGTCGTTGATTATACAAGGATGTTTGATTATAATTCCTTGAAAAAGCTTGAACCAGATTACCAGGCTAAACGTTGGATTTACTTCAAATTCATCCGCTGAGATTTTACAAATATATTATTCCTAATTATTGTCGAACTACTTTTACAATTTACTAATCCTATAAAACTCTCGGGATTATTTGGAATGCTTTAGGTCATTAGAAAGAAAAGATTCCCATTACTTCTATAGAGAATTGTGTCTACAGGTTAACTTGTGTCAAATGTGATACGTTCTATCTAAGAAAATCTTTAAGTGTAATCTTGACTCTTTTTAAGCAATATCTAAGCTAAACAACAAGACCTAATAATCCCATGAAATTCAAAGATTCATAACTTATTTCGTCATTGACATTATACACTATTTTTAAAATCCATCAAATTGATATTAACAACCATATTTGTTTCATTCAAATATCACACCACTAACAAACGTACAAATTACCTTTACTCCTAATCAAAAATATCACATTTTTCCAGACTCACTAATAAATACACTAATAAACGTCCTTGTTGTCTTACACTTGACCTGAATAATATAACATTAGTTCTATCAGACTTGCTTTAATTGTGATAACATTTTTGACTTATTCTACTCGAGTATGTAAATTTATAATAATTGGTTATTTATCTATTTTTGAAGTCGAATTTACGAGCCGATCTAAGCTAGACCAGTATCAGAAAATCGGAAGTATAGGACTGCTGTTTCGATCTCAACAGTGGGCATCTGCAATCCTCCTTACGGGATGGCGGTCTAGTTTAGGTTGACTAGTGAACTCAACTTTTAAAATGCTACAAACTCCACAAATCCCCATACAAATATTCCTTAATTCTTTAAAAAAGCAATTCACATTAAATTTCAAAACAGGAATCAACTCATTAGAATATTATAAATATATCATTGATTTTTTATTATTAACAGTCTATTTTATGCTCAATTTATTTGAAATTATGAAATTAAACCTTGATAATTTTACTCAATTGGTTTTTGAGAGGGTATATTCGAACTCGCCTTATTACTTTTACCAGTTATTATCTGAAAAAATTTTTGGATAAAATAATTTTGTCTAAGTAGCTGGAATTTCTAATATTGGAAAATAATACGGTGACACTATAATTTATGGACGACTTTTCAGAGATGCTAAAGTGGCCTTGTGAATGTTCACCTACGTACTAGGGTTAAATGAGGGTTATAAAACCTGTGTGAAAAATAAGGATTGTGATTTCTAGTTGATGGTTAGGGTTAGGAGTTAGACGTAGAGTTTTCATCACTAACTAATATCAGATAAAATGCGAAAACTCTCTTTCACCAATTGGCTGAATGAATTCCGTGCCAAAATCTGAGACCTGTTATCCTAAATCTGTTTGATTCACCCATAAATTAGAGTCTCACCTAATTTACCTTTGTCGTATACTACTAAAATAATATGAGGTGTTTAACTTGTCTACACACGAACAGATACAGACGAAGACAACAAACGTAGCAACAGTCACTGCATCAATAGGTCTCAACATACCCAAAGGAAAAAGCAAGATTTTCAAATGCAACACGGAGAACACCAACTCAATCACACTTGATGGCGAAACTCTGGAAGAGGTGGAAACATTCACGTACCTAGGAAGCATCATTGATAAACAAGGAGGATCGGATGCAGATGTAAAGGCGAGGATTGGCAAAGCAAGGGCAGCATTTCTACAAGTGAACAACATATGTAATTCAAAACAACTGTCAACTAACTTCAAAATGAGAATCTTCAATACGAATGTCAAAACAGTCCTACTGTACGGAGCTGAAACGTGGAGTACTACAACATCCATCGTCAAGAATGTACAAGTATTTTTAAACAGTTGTCTACGCAAAATACTCAACATTCACTGGCCGGATACTATCAGCAACAGCGTTTTATGGGAGAGGACAAACCAGCTTCCAGCTGAAGAGGAAATTAGAAAAAGATGTTAGAAGTGGATAGGACATGCATTAAGGAAATCATCGAACAGCAATCGCTAACTTGGAATCCGGAAGGGAAGCGGAAAAGAGGAAGGTCAAAGAACACATTACGCCGGGAAATAGAAGCAGATATGAAAAGAATGAATAACAACTGGAAGGAACTGGAAAGGATTGCCGAAGATAGAGTTGCATGGAGAATGCTGGTAGCGGCCTATGCTCCTCGACGAGGGGTAACAGGCGTAAGTAAGTAAGTACATCAAATTTCATTAGTTCGACAAAACACCACTTAGAATACTTAGATTAAAAAAATATGAATTATTAATAATTGAAATATAGGTAGATCTAGTCGTATTTGTTTGCCCACACTTAAAGTATTTATATTACATGTTCAATTATAATCCATTATTGAACATTCTTTTTCTCTCTTATTTTCACATCTATTTTAACCAGATAAATAATTTTTATACATCAACACAATTAACAAGTTTATTATTGGAATTTTTTAATTCTAATGATACATTAGAATTTTATCAAATCATTATTCAATATTCTATAAAAAGTTCAAATTCTTTATCTGTGCCAGAATTAATGCCAAAGAATCAAATACATTTCTATTTAAATGATGATCGAATTCAATCAGCTGATAATCTCCAAGATCAATTTAATTGGTTAAATAAGTATCTGTAAGTAAAACAAGTAATGAGTAAATAAATTCAAAAGAAAGACTCATTCACTGTATAATAAACATTGTCGTGTTAAGTAACCCCCTTCTTCTAATTTTAGCAAACTTTTATTTTTGTATGTATCATGTGAATGTATGAAAATTGTCGAATATCTATCAATTCTGAAATTCTATCTTTAAAATTCGTTTCATTCAAAAGTTTGTTTAGTTTGTTTGGTTAGTCATATTTCTTATTTTTATAGGAGGCGGTAAATCATTCAGGAATGTAAGTTTCGATAATGATTGTAAGAATCAGATGTAGTTGTTTCATTAAGTATTGTGAATGAAAACATAAGTGGGGCAGTAACCGATTGTATTTTAATACAAAGTTAAAGAGTCCTTTCAACAAATGTAAAACCACACGTTTAGTAGTTCATTTACAAATCCTCCATCAATTATCTCAAACTTCATCGTTCTTGAATTCCGTTCTCTTCTATTCGATTATCTCAACCTTCTGCTACCAGGTTTTCCACTTTCAACTGGTGTTACATTCTACTTATATCTGTCGACATAAGTAGCACACACTACAAGAGTCACACGTTTTCTACCTCAGAAAAAATTAGGAACAAACCCAAGGTTTAGTTTACAACTCAGATAACTTCCCAGATGACCTTGAGAAAATTTTGATCCCCCTTTAAGCAATTAGAAGACAATAACTGTGAATGAACAATTTATATTACGTAATGAAAGAATTTACATAAAACATTTTGTTTTTAAATCGCTGATTAACTATTTGGAATGAATTAAAGATTCTTCTATGTTATGGACTAACAATAACCGTAGACGTTGGGAAATATTGCAACTAAATAATGCTTCATAATGTTTTCGTTCATATTCATTCAGATATACTAAATTCACGCATTCGTAGATCAGTATTTATCTGAGCAAATTTAACGTTTTATAAGCATTTATTGACATTTTCTTCTTTAAAGTTGCTTATCAAACGATTGATAGTCAGTTTCCTGATTTCGCATATGTACGATGACCTTGAGGTTACGTAATCGACCTTGACTGGTTCGGGACTGTATTTTAACTTCACTAGAATCCTATTCCTCAGCACTGCTGCAGTTCCGCATCTATGATATTTAGGTCAGAAAATTCACAATGAATATTTCCAACCTGCTGTGTCACTGAATCTTTTTGTCGCAATTGATGAAATTCGATATTGTTTATCGCCGTACCAATAATTTTATTTAGTTATTGATTACTGCATTTTGTTATACGTTGGAGCAGTTGAACCAAACCATGTAAAAGTGGTCGATTTCGAGCTTGTATTATTTCAGTTGCCTCTAATGAAAACTTACCGGAATGTTAGTTTGACTTTCAATTATGAGTGTAAAGTGAAACAAACGACTATGTTGACAATATTACTTGACTAATATCTGCAGTTGGGTTTCCCTGGATCGAAGCAACCAAGTCTTACAGGTTTGACGTGAGACGATTTGCCCCAAAGTCTTTTAAACCCTGTAATTGTATTTCAGGAAAGCTCTGTTATCTACTTTCCGTATTCTCTTTTATCACTCTACACTGAGATTGACAGCACTTAAATTTTTAAGTTCATATCACAGCTTACTAGGTTGTTTAATAATAATCTAGGAGAATACAAAGCATGCAGCAATCTGAGCCGCTGCGAGTGATTTTGATATACGTGTATATTTTGGAAGGTGGTTGTGCAATGTCTACGAATGACTGAAGTTAGACGTGTACATTAATCGATTACGGCTCATTGGTCTGCAATTCAGCGAGTCGCCACGTAACCCAAAAATCCTGGATTCCAGCCCCGGTGGCGACGCGGATACTCATTACTGAAGAATTTCATATTAGAAAAAAACACTGCTTCCTCAATAATTCCTGGTTTTCAATAGTTGTCTAACTAAGGTCAGTTCATAATGTAAATTGTGATACTTAACAATCTCCACAGATCCCTTATAATATATATATATATATATATATATATATATATATATATAATTGTTTTCCACTTATTCATTACTTTATCTATGAACAAACCAGGGACAAAGATTCATTTGAATTGGCCTCAAACTTACAGGATTCCTACAGTTTACTTGTTTCTGATTCAAGTAGTATCAATGAAAATAAATATGATTATTTGAAACCTACATCTACATGTGCTAAAACAAATAGTTGTCCAAGTTTAGACAATTCTAAATTATCTGCTCAAAGCAAATATACCAAAGTAAAGAGACAAACATCTAGACGATTATTTAAATTACGCCGTTGTCGATCGTCTGTATCCCCACCACCACCAAAACTGAAGTCGAAACCTCCGAAACCCATGAAAAAGAATTCCTTAGCTGTATCACAAAACAATTTGAATTACTCCTCAGACAGTTTAGCAGAAACAGTAAGCTTAACATATTTATATTGTTTTGTTTAAGAAATTTGTGCCAGGTAGTATTTTGGACTAACTCATATTTGGTGTATGAATGACTCAATTGAAGATATTATCTATGGTGTGGCGGTGGATAAGTGACTAAGCTGTTTGATTTTAAGCCACTAATTCGAAAGTTAGAAACTGGCCCCACCTATTTTATTTTGGGTAAATGAGTAGTATCAATATCCCTCATGTCTAGAATGTGGCTCGGAGCACGATACAGGAATCTGTACCCTATAAGTGTGGTGAATGAAATACATATCCAATTTGTAAATTAACTAGATGGGTGAATGTAATCTTGTATGACATGAATTGAATCATGATTTTACTGTTGGCCTAACTGTCTTTAAGGTAAAATGATCTTGTACTAAACTATAGAAGTTTTAACCCAGTCAAACTATTATTTGACTACTGACCAGCAAATTATCTATTTATAAACCAAAAATCTACCAAGAATGTGATTAACTTACAAGTTTTCGAATCATAGCCACTATTTCACTGAAACTTAGAAAATTTGGAAAAAAGATTGTTGTTATAAACTAGATAGTAAGAGAACCAGTAACATTCACTGCAATCTTTTCAGATGTTACTAAAGCTTCAGTAGTTCAATAGTATGAGCGTTGTAGAGATGTATGCACAATAAAGATGATGAGCACTAAAACGGTTGTTCGGAGGAATGGAGAACATCGAAAAAATCGATGAAACAGTCGTGTAAAAACTCAAATTCAATAGCGGAAGCAGTGTATGAGCAGGCTGGGTAAATAGTTGTTCCTTAAATATATTTTACTGGTATTCGATATGTGTGACCGATTATCGCAAAAAGGATATTTCCAAAACGTGAAAAACTAAGAGGTTGGAACTTTGATACCAATTATACAGGAGTATGTGCAGCCGGGTACCAAAACATATACGGACAACTGGAGGGCGTATAAATGCCTATTTAGACTTGGTTACGTGTATTAAGTTGTCGTTCACAAGCGACATTTTGTAGAACAAATATATTATTCCTATTTAATGCATTATCAGATTATTTTTAAAACTGTATTCGTTTATTGTTATTTTGTCCAATTTTAGTGTTTGACTTCACCACATAGTTTTTCCGATCTGCGTTTCGCAAATGACTCATGGAATAAATGGTAAGTGAATATTTTCATACTTCATTCCTGCGATGTTCACAAAGCACTAAAAGAAATTTTATCTATCGATGTGGAAGTAATAATATTTGTCAATGAGCGAACAAGGTATTTGACTGTCATTTTTTTGTAGTATAAGAAACTATTTCAAGTCATTGAGACTAGTGGTCACACTTCAGCTAGTTTAATGGAGTTTGATCAACACCAAAAGACTAGAAAAATTCAACATTAGCCACCAGTCAGTGATCAATTAATTTTAAAAATCTCGGCCGAACAGAAAGTTGTTCTGGAACTTAATAGCTCAGCAGTGATGTCATAAACGCGGAGGCTAGGTGAGTGACGTTGGTTCGAACCCTCTAAGGAAGAACAGTTCTCATGTATGTAGGCATACTTTGTTGGTGGGTGCTAAACAGAATGAAACCTAGATTGAGCCTCCTCTCGACAGCCTCTTGCGACCTAATACATCTATCCTAATTAGGATTATTCTGATCTCTCATAACATTTAACTACAGTATGGCTTGTGTTGTTTGGATAATCTCAATTCATAGTTATGAATATAATCAAAGCTAGAAATAAACTGCTTTGGACATCAATTGAATATTCATCTATGATACTCATCAAAATTTTAGACTTTAACCATAATTTTCTTGAACGACATTTAATTATGACGTTACTAGCCAAAATATCTCTTTGTATTGAGAAAGTTATACCATTTCAAGCTGCATTAACATTAATCATCAGAATATTTGAGCGTCCATGGGAAGTACATGGTTTTGTATCTTAAGGTTTATAATTTATAAACATTAATTATTCAAATAACTAAGCGTAACTGTCTATTATTATACTGGTCCTATTTTCCTCAGTAGATATACTAAACCATGGAACAACATTCTGACAAATTCAACTATTGATAATCCTAAAAATAGAAATATTAGTGTATTTATTGGGACGTGGAATGTAAATGGACGTAATGGTAGTAATTTAAATTTAGATGACTGGCTTATACCTCCTGAAGGTCAACCACCAGCTGATTTGTATGTTATTGGGTAAGTTGTTTGTTCAGTTTATGTAGAAAGCATAATTCTTTTTTATCTACAAAGGATTTAAATTGTGCTTATTTGTTTTATTTCTTGATTACATTGAAAACTACGTTCATTTACATTTATATTTAATTAGATTACAAGAATTGGATTTAAGACTTAAAGTAATTACTCTCAATAAGACAAGTTCATCTGGACCAGAGGATTTATGGATTCAACAGTTAGAAGAAGCGTTAGGTGGCTTATTGAAACCACCTACTTCTAAGTCTAATGTAACTTGTCTAAACGAAACTGAATCAATTAAAAATTTTGCAGCTCACTGGTTTCACTACACCGGTGGAGGTTATATACGCATTAGACGTGTTCGTCTAGCTGGTATCATGATGATTGCATATATCTCAGCCAAATTATCCGTTCATTTACGTCATGATGAAATTTCTCAACATATTGTTCCAACTGGTGTTTTAAATGTAATGGTAAGTTGTATAAAATTTATGGTCATCAAGAAGTATTTAATAAACATTGTTTTTATAAAATAATCTTAATATTATAAACAAAATCGTAAATAAATTCATTTTTTTTATTGTTTGTGTGAATCTTCTCATTGATGTTTAGGACTGCAACTGGTCAGTCTCTAATTGGCATATGTGTATACTGTGCGTATTGACTCGATATTGCCTTAATTCACAAGCATTGTAAGTAAAGATGAATAGTGGCTAGTAGTGGAATACAGGATATGTGTTTCGTCCTATTTAGGACTCGTCTGCTGGATGTACCTGCATCTCAGAGTTGATGTTCGCTTCGGGACATTTATATTACGTTATTCAGCTTAATCTTTCAGAGTATTATTTATTATTTCTAACAATCTTTTGATTATAAATTTCCAACAAGTGATTAAAACCTAATATTTCATGTGTCCGTTGTTGATCGGGTGATAAATTTTTAGTTCTCATCAAACTTTTTGTTACAATATATTCATGATAAATAACTTGAATAACATTACATGAAAAGAAACAGAATTATTTCAGTTTTAGAATGCTTTATTCTAAAATTACGTACTCACCTACGCCAGTTACTTCTTGCAGAGCTAATGATCAGGGATCTTCAACTAATTCTGTTCAGGGTTCTTCTTTTCAGTTGTTACTGAGTACTATTCATTCTTTCAATGAGTTTCTCCAACTCTCGCACTGTATGTCTCTTTTCCTTTTCCCTACGGGATTCCAAGTAAGGGCTTGCCACATGATCCAGTTCGGTGATTTATGCGATGTATGTCCCGTCCACCCCCGGCATCATTTGCTACCTAAATGAAACATTTATAAAGAATACTGGTTTTGTGATGTGTGCTACTTATGTCGACAAACATAAGTAGTATGTAACACCAATCGAAAGTGCGAAACCTGGCAGTAGAAAGCTAAGATTTAGTTGAAGAGAATAGAAACTGAAGTAAAAAGCAGTCGTAAATTGGAAGAATCATACAGAATGTGAAGAACAAATGATGGAAATTTGCAAATAAAGTATTCAATGTATGGTTCTCTCATTCTATGTGTAATTTTGTTGAATACAATAAATTGGTTGTCCCCACCTTTGTTCTTGTTCATTGCAGTTTTATGACTGTAAATTCGTGATGGATTTATTATGACATATACAGAAATGTTTTTTCTCTTATTTGCTTTACTTCAGGGTAATAAAGGTGGTGTAAGTCTTAGAATAACTATATTTAATACTTCATTATGCTTTGTAAATTGTCATTTGGCTGCTGGCAAAGAAAAAATTGACCGTCGTAATCAAGATTTCAAAGAGATTGTGCGTAAAATGTCATTATTATTCCCTATAAATCCAAAGCGTCTTCCATTTCCTATGAAGAAATCGTATATTTCAGTACATGAGTAAGTTCCAATATAGTATAATTAAAATATTTGTTTGATAAATGTGTTTAGCATAATTAAGGTTAGATTTTGAACTGAATACTGTAAATGATATCCTTACATATTCTGTTCAGAATTATTTGCACATTCACTGTACAAAATAACCCATAAATTATATGCTTTTCTGACACATTCTTTTATTTAATCTCTATCTTATTCACTCTATAATATTGCCTTTGTTTTAAATAATATGAACAAATTCTGATCTCCGTTGAATTCGCATTTTATTTAATCAATTTATCGAAGTCTAATTCTTATTTGATATTGTTTGGTTGAATCTTCCCATTGTTATTTAGGACTGCAACTGACCAGTCTCTTATTGGCATATGTGCATACTGTTCGTATTGACTCGATATTGCCTTAATTCACAAGGATTATAAACAGAGATGGATAGTGGCTAGCACAAGCAATGGGCTATCAGGACTCAGTAGCTAAGTGGATAACGCGATGGCGCTTGAAGTGAACGGTAATGGGTTCGAGTCCCATAGTGAGCATCAACTCCGAGATGCAGACACATCCAGCTGATGAGTCTCGAATAAGACGAAACGCACGTCCTAGATTCCACTGCTAGCCACTATCCATCTCTATTTCTTATTTATTTATAACAGACAACAGTTTAAATATGTTTTGTGTTTTATCTCACGTTTAAGGGGAATTGATGGAGATGATTTAAATAATCTGTGACAACTGATGATCATAATTGATGAATCTTAGCCCAGTCTTGAATTATTGCTTATAGAGTTGTGTCGTCAATTAACACGAGACTTATGAATGAACGGTCTTCATTCCATTGAGTTAAGTTAATAGACTAATCATCTTTTCGTCTACTTCTAACCAGTGCTACTGTTAAAATATGTCGACTGCACACATGCCTTTCAAAAATCCTACTTAAAACCCTCCTAAACTAGGCTTTTAAGAACATCTTAACATATAAATTCACTTAGTATTGTTTTGTTTGAATCTTTCCATTGATGTTTTAGGACTGCGACTAGTCAGTCTCTTTGCTTACCATTTTAACATATAGTCTTTAGAACTGTTACTAAGATTTAGTCATAAAGTTTGATCATTACCGTGGAGGCAATAGCGATGAGATTCTAAGATTAGTCGATGAGACTTAACTGAGAAAAGCTAGATTTAACAGGTGAAAAGTAAGATTGATTTATACCACAGCATTTTCTGTCATTTTCACAAACGAAACAATGATTTGATAGGTATGACTCAGATTGGCTAATGCTGCCATGATATTACTATGCAAAGACTAATATCATTTGATATACAGTAAATAGGAGCTACAACTACGCAAAACATTTCAACTGTTTCCTTCAACGGATTACTCCGGATGTGTTTAGACATAATACCATGTTGATTAGATAAAAGAAATTTGTATTCTTTATTGCAGATTATCATAACATGAAAACTAATGACAGTGAAATCTTCTGTTTAACTGATATTTTCTTCGATGTAGTGTAATTTTCTTATTTGGAGATTTGAATTATCGAATAACCGGTTTGGGCTCAGATAATGTCAGAAGACTAGTTAAGCAAAACAATTACGTCAGTCTACTTAAGAATGACGAGGTAGGTTTTCATTCCAATTAGTATTTAGTATTTAGCAATAAAAAAGCACTTTGATCTGTTGGACCTACCTAATTTACTAGTTAATACCGTATTTATTGTGATCGATTTTCCGGAAGCCTAATTTTATTACTATAAGTTTTTTTCTCAAGCATCGAATGTGAGACACATTTGTGGTAGCAGAACATCCTTGGTCCTAAATGGAAAAATCTATTCCTCCCATTACGGTTTACATGAATAGTTAATGATTTTATACGCTGATTCCAGTCCTTAATCTGACCACTTTTAGCTGTTTTGAATCTAAACGAATAGTTTACAGCAAATATATGGGAAGAATAACCAAAGAGTGACAATTCCATCAGTCAATTTATTATCCTTACCTACTGATCTAAGTAAAACGTCAGTAATATTCCCTTATTGGTTCCACTATTCATAAGTAACGCCAATAAAACAAGTATGACTCATACTAGTAACCTGCACACGCATACTACTTATAAAATATTTGTTTCACGGACGTAAAGCATTACAGAATGAACTGTTATTCAGTAAACTTTCTGTTTCCTAGTCTCATTTGGTATGAGCAATGCAAGTAGACAGTAGTCAATAAAACATTTTGTATTCTCCCGAAGATTTTGTCAGTTACCAACCCAAAAGAGCTGATATTGCTATTCAGATAAGAAAAGTCATAAGTCTTCTCGACTGTTTCGATATGATGAGATTAGACATTCACATGAACCAGTGTTGAAGCAAAATTTTACACTTAAATGCCTTAGATGCCCCTCTACGTATTCGAATGAGGCTGAAAAAAGTAAACATTTCAAGAGTCCAAGATCAGTTTCAGAGTAATCAGATAATGTAACTGCTATTTTCATGGAAAATTTTAATGTTGAAAATAAATCAAAATCCAGAAAGGCAACAGAAATTCGTCTTAAACTATTATTTTACTCTACTAATGAATTGCATTCAACAGTTTGGTACATGATATTTTGCTTGATATGTATCAAGTCAGCACAAGTTTCCTTCAACGTATTGTCTTCAAAAATCCTTAGGGTTGACATTTCCAACCGTATGCTGTGTCTTCACATTGATTAATTTATACAGAAAATTAATTCTTTATATTTCGTAATTATTATACAATTATTGGTCAGTAAAGATTTATTATATTGACAAGCTATAAATAATTTACATAATGATTAAGTCATCTTATAATACCTGCACTACACTTGAGTTTGTCTACTTCTAATTTTATTAAGCCCTTCAATTAACTTATTAAATAACAGACACTGTATCATTCGAATAGTAACAGTGTGTCTATATCTTTGTATTATCATTATTACTATTATTATCACATTTGTATGATCATGTATGCTTGGTCAAATTTTACAGATTACAAGTATATCCATCTAAGTTGCTTAAATCGCTTGATGACACATTCGCTTTCCGATAAACATATGCTTCTTAAGTCTTTTTTCATTCATTCAACCTAATTGGCTTGTTTGTATTCTCTTGCATTCATTTGTACTCATATTTCCGTTCGTCTTCGTGTTATGTGTTTGTGGCTTTTTGATCTGCACTGTACAATTATAAACTGAATTCAACGCATTTTATTTCCTTCTGTAATTTATACACCATTAGGAGTATCAGGAAAAATGTTATACAAAGCATTAGGAATTATCTCCATAACATTTCATCACAATCTAAGACTTGTTGTGAATAGACTTTAACAGATAGCCGAAATGTTTTTACTTACCTTCAACTTCCAAATAGTTTTTACTTGGTCTAGTTTACTTAACTCTATTATCAGTTTTTGTTTTTCTTTCATGACTGATATAGTTTTATTACAAACAGAAATAAAATTATTAGCTAATTCAATGTAATATACTTTTTATTTTTCTTTCATTTATTGATCCATTCAACCAATGATTATTTTTTGTTTTTGTTTATTCAAAGTTATCAAAAGAATTGAACAGTAGAAAAATATTTCAAGGTTTTCGAGAACATAAAATTACTTTCCCGCCAACATATAAATTCGATATTAATTGTCAAACATATGATTCAAGGTATGATCATTTTTGTTTTTAACTAAGGATATTGATAGGTTGATAAGAAAAAATAGGTTAATTTTGTTTGATTAATTCTTTATTTCACTGAAATGAAATGATATCATGTTAAGATAATTTGAAATACACGTTGTTTAATTATAATTTATAACAGAGCTTCTGCTTTTACACGGTGATCGAGGTTATTCATCAATAATGACCTAATGGAGCTATATTATCTGGAACACTTGATTTTTAGATTCTAACATGTCAAGTAGGTTGACTAAAACTTGGACTACCTCCAGTATTGAGGTGTGATGAAAGTAAGGTGTTTTTCTTAGACAAGCAACATTTATAGTGATGACATATTCCCAAGTTACTTTGAAGATACATTAGAAAAGTATAGGCAAGGGTGTAAATAAATTTAATAGACTGAATAAAATATTTTAAACATATTCCTTCTTATGTAAAAGAACATTCTACAACATGGATTAAAACAAGAGTTCAAAAGTCTAGAAAGAAGTGACTTTTCATACATTTCTATTACTTGCTAAATTACAAAAAACCCAGTTAGTGTGACGTGTATTATAAAGGTTTATAGAGAATACAAGTTAGTGTTATAATGTCAATGCGTACTTCAACATTCAGATTTAATCATGAATACAATTTCAAACAACTACAAGCTTCCATTAAAATACGTTTAGAATATATATAAACGTAAAAAGAAAACAAGATTGTGTGTTTCAACATTCAATCAAATTAAATCATGAAAAATTTCATTTGAGAAACATAACTTTCATACTTCTTATTTTAGATGATTAGTTTAACTAACCTGTTCATACAATAGGCTTTTTTTTGCATTTCCCGTTACATTTGTCAGTGAAAAATATCGTATTCCTGCCTATTGTGATCGAATTATTTGGTTTGGTAGGGGTTGTACACCAATTGTTTACAGATCACATCCAAATTATGTATGCAGTGACCATAAACCTATATCAGGTTATTTCTTAGTTGAAGTAAGTTTATTCGACACTTTCAGATATGATTACTATATGGATTATTAAAAAAAATATGTTTCTTAATCGTTTTTAATAAACTTATAATCGTATAATGATTAAATTTTGATTCTCGGTACGATGGTGGTTGTTCACTGTTAAGAAGTTTCATACTAGGACGACATAATTATTCAATGTTTCCTGGTTTTCAACAGTTGTTTAACTAGAACATCAGTTTGTCATGCATACTATAAAATCCGAAAATCTCAATCCACTTTTATTACTGAATAACTTTTGTAATTTGAGAATATATGATTATTATCAAGGAATACAGTGACCGTTGTTTATTATCACAAACCCAATGAAGAAATACGTATTATGTATTATGCTTATTTGACATTTTAGTCTTTGTTACCCTTCATAACTTAGTTGATGTTTCAAAACATTCACAAATTGGATGTAACCTGCAGATTACAATCTAAAATTCAGTAAAATGAAAGATATTCCTCATTAACTTGATTTTTAGATGCTCTTTACATCTAAAGGTTTGTTTTCTCTCTTAAAGACTTATAAGGAATCGAAAGCAGCCATGTTCAAAACTTTTATTTAATGACTGAATGCTTGGTGTTCTAATGAAGTAAAGAATGTTTTTGTTAAACTTTTCAAAATAATCCATTCTTTAAATGTCTATGAATACCTAATAAGTAATTAGTTTTTGTAACGTAATTACTATTAAACGGAAATTATTTTGTACCATTCAACGATTGTGGATAGAATAAAGGAAGTAGGTCACACTGAAATTGTTCCATTGAAGGTCACTTGAATAATTATGTGAAAATAAATATAAGAAGACTATGGAATTTAGTTACAAGTGACAAAATAACGCAGAAAGAGAATGTAACCTGACATACATAAACATTAAAATGATGGATTCCTTAAACCTCTTTAGTTTTGCAGTTCATCTGATGCCTTAAACAGTATGAATAGCAGTTACTGATTAGGGGTCAACAAAGCCGGAAACACAAAGTTGATAAGTTCCGTGTAATCAGACACAAACACAAAATTCAAGTGGAAGAGATTACAAAACATATATATATATATATATATATATATCCAAACTTGTTAAGTAAATCTCTTACTATGTAGTTTATCATTAATATTTGTATATTAGTAATAGATTTGATCACTATCCAAATCACTCTGGATTCTCCCCTTGTTTTCGGTTGTAGCTTCAAGCAAACAAACAAAAATTTAAATCGCATCATCACTAATTATTACTAAGAGTAGAGATTTATTTTAAATCATATATTAGTTGTTTAGATTTTCGAAAATAGAATGAAATGCTGGTACTGAATTCCACTGCTCGTTACAATCCATCTCCACTCAAGTAGAGATTCATATTTATTACATCATTAAAATCAAAGACTGTAATTATCAGTCTCTAAAGGTTTCCCAATAAAAAGTAACAGAATAAGATAAAGAAAGGAACCTATAGTTAATGCTTTACACTGTTACCACAACTTGCACTAGAAACCAAGAAATATCTCAGTTGTCTTCGGATCTATTCATTGTTTTGTACTTCTCTACGATAATAAGGCCAGACTATTTTCTGTCTTTGATATCTTAATTGTAATTCCTTGTCTAATGTCCAGTTGTCAACTGAACTTACTGAATTTATCGGTTAAACATGAAAGTCATCATTCGTCTTACGGTTTTCTTTCATAGTGTAGCACTATACTGTCGATTGCTATTAATTCTTCCTCAGTCACATTTTGACCTTGTTAATTATTCACTTTTCAATCTTGACTATTTTCATGTAAGCCTATGCATGTGCATTTCTTATCTTATCACATAACTGTAACTCATTTTTGTCTCACTATAAATATCAATTTGTGCTTAGTCAAATGATGTTGGTTCACTCACCTTATCCATTGCATGTCATTTTGTTTTGCTTTCCGATCAACAGTTGTAGGGAATATAAGTATTCAAAAATCTATTCTCGTATTTAACTTATTTAATTTCGTTATTCACTAACGTGAGTTAAATCGATCACGATAATCACACAATTTAATTAGAGTCAGATATCGGGCCACTAAAGCATAATTTACACAGTGGTATTACAACATCATAACAAATTTACAAAAATAAATAATTTCTTTAATTTAATTCATGCTAAAAAAGAAAGAGATTTCTTTTTTTCTCAAAAAGAATTGGCGAAACTATAATTTATGTTCGACCTTCAACGAATCTTAAGTGACCTTGAGAAATGATGGCCAATCAGTGAACAGTAAGCATAGAGTAAAAATATATTATACAACACCGAAGAATTAAACTGAATACACTTCTTTTATATGATCCCAAAACTTATCAAGATTAGAAAGAGGTTCAAAGGTTCTAAAATCGTAATGCATAAAGTAGAGAGACTCATCAATATGGCTCCATAATACTCAGTCTCTAGAGCCATGATAAGGTCACAAAAACCTTTTCGGCCTCCACCACATAGCTTCAATATTGTTTGTGAACGGTTGTGTAAGTTTATCATTTTCTTTATGGATATGTCCCTACAATACTCATACCAATGAACAGCCGAAGCTTCAGTAACATCTGCGATTATGGCAACCAATGTTACTGATGCCTTTATTATACAGCTTCAGCAATTATTATAATATACCTTAGTCTCAATCTGAATCGAGCGAAAAAGTTTCCTATTCTAGAAAACGTTTTCCTTCAACATATATTACATCGAAGGACAACATCACGGTAGTCTGCACAAGGTCTACAAGTCATTTAATACCCGCAATTACAAATACATGAACTTCTTAGTAGTCTCATTTGTTGTAGCCGTTTAATTGTCAAATCCCTCAAATTCTCTGTAAACCGATCGTACATGAGCACCAGGTGCTGAAATAAGCGCCGTGACCTTGAAACCCCTCAAGCGCTTCTGATTGGCTCGTTCATAAATTATAGTCTCGCCAAAGAATCAATATAAGCAGTAACCATAATTTTTTTAAATTAATTTCATTTATTTTTTTTATTCATTATTTTATACACAGGTATATTAGGGGTGTAGTTTCAACATTAACATAGAAAATGTTTATAGTGAGTTGTTTTGTTTGTTTGTTTGTTTTTATTTGTTAGAAATTCGCTTTACATGGATGATATAAAAATAAAAAAAATAATATTTGGAATTTTATTTTTACTTAATTTTCATATGAAAATTTATTTTCACTGAGTGAATTTTTTTATTTTTTTCAAAAAATAAAAAAAATTATTTGAGTTTAAAATGTAAAGCCGTAATTAAGAAAAAAAAGTGCAGGAAAGGAAAAAAAACAAAACGACAACCAGAAACATACCCATTAGGGGAATTAAGGCCAAGGAAGGGTGAGTGGTTGGACAAATCGTTTCTGCATGCAAAGTTCAAGCCTGAATTCGTGGATTGCCAACGCCTCAGCAGTACATAAAATATTGATTCGACCCCCCCCCCATCTTCGATTCGGTTCCTTTGACTCTATCATATCTGTCAATTGGACTATCTGACCCATAAATTATTTTCTTCCTTACCCCTTGATTAAAAAATTTATTTATTAATAATCTTGTTCGATATATAAATTAAAAGTAATTTTTCCAGTTGTCTATTCCTTTTCTCTTCCTTTCTAGATTAGATCATATAGACAAGAATATTAAATTATTATGAATTTTAAATTGTCACCTTTTTGTGATACTATTTTTATGATGATGATAATAATAATTTGATTAAATGTATCTATAAAATTGTTTATTATAACAAAATTTATTAGACTAATATTTCAAATTTGTACATCATTATTTTATAAATTATTTGATTTTTCTTATAAATATGTCTATATTCACTAAATTTATTTATTTATTTAAACACAAAAAGGCACCAGATATATCTATGCGCCACACAAAACTCATTTGATTTGTGTGAGGGCTATGATACTGCCCAGGTACCCAAACTGAAACAGGTGGTTTTCTTAGGGGACCACATCTTGAGCCTTTGACTTAATGCTCTGACCCACAAGGCAATGGAACATCGTGAGGAGATGCAGTCCCATGGTAGCCGGTGATCAACGATTGATTCATATGCCATTTGTTCCCTCAGGATCCTGGAACCCGTGTGCACTATTGGTTTGGAATGACGGTTTTCTTACTCTCCTAGGTGGACTTTGTGTGTTCATTAACCTGGTTAAAGAGCCGGACATTCGCTTTTAGTCCTCTCAATTTCGTAAACAACAGTAATGCCACTATAAGGCAATGATTAGGACTTCCCTGACAGAGGTTGTATACACGTGGCCATGCGAGAGCATTTTGAGAGGGAGAACGGACTCTACCCCACTCTCGGTCGTACCAGGGCATTCGGGGGCTTATTCACTAAAACAAAAAACCAACTTCATATCTTCATTATAGAATGGGGAATAAATGAAATTGATAATTAGACTTTATAAAGTGCTGTAGGGATTGTTTAATATGAAGCTTCGCATTATAAGTTGACTTAATGTAAACAACCATTGGAAATTAAAGTGTACTGGATAGAAATTTAAATTGAATATGTGACTTGTTGATAGTGCGGATCCACAATCACACCAGGAGTCAACACATAAGAGTTTAAGAGTTCACGGTGAGTGCATAACCTTAAAACTACTGAATTTAAGGTAAAACCTTTTTTTTCATTTATATTTAAGATATACTTTGCATCAAAATATGATGTTTATGTAAGACGATTCTGTTTCGATAACCATTCAACCTATTGTTTGCTCTATGTTCATAACAATCTGCTTTTGCAGGTCAATGTCATTCAGTTATTTTACTCCTCTCAGGATAAATACTTATTCGCAAGATTACACAGTTTAAGCAATATTTACTGTTTTCATTATTTGATAACTTAAATTAATATCATAAGTCATTAAAAAATACAAAATGGTAAATGTGTGACGTAATATTGAAAATAAGTAGAAATAAAATTTAGGAGCCCCAATAGCTAGTGTACTCAATATATATATATATATATATATATATATATATATCTTATGAGGACGACACAGCACTGAAATATGGGCATGCAAAACATTTCGTATTAGACTATTTGTGTCAAGTTGTTTACCATATCCTCTACCACAGTTAAGTCAAATTAAGTACATCAAGTTATTCCGGACTTGTATTTCATCACTGAAGTCTAATAATCAACTACAAAACTGGTTAACACTGACTAATACGTTTCAAACTATGGTAAAACCATCCATATTTTACGAACAATTAATAATATTTCAAAATATTCGATAATTTTGATGTTTGATTATATTTCCTTGAAAAAGCTTGAACCAGATTGCCAAGCGAAACGTTGGATCTACTTAAAAATTCATTCGCTGAGATTTTACAAATACATATTCTTCCTATTTAATGCCTTACATCAACTCGGCACCCAAATACTGTGAAACTATTCGCTCTAATTTAGACGAAAATTCTTATATATTTTAAAATATTGTTTCATAGAATTCCTAGAATTTCCCCCCAATTCAATTACATTATGAAGAAGCTGTTTCCTCTCAGATGTACACTTTCATTATGTATAAAATGATTTCTATTTGTTATTAGCTATCTATATAACAATAAAATTGATTTTCTTTCATTTAACAACTTCCTTTTCATTTTATACAATTATCATAAGTTATAGTTTTGAATCAATCCATATGATCCAAACAATTTTACTATTGGTTGGCTTCAAGACGATGTAATTTTACTAGTACAATATAGAAAAAAAATTTTGTTTTTCACATAGTAACTAAACACCACAATATTTTCTAAAAGAGTTTTGATTTATTATGTGTGAAACAAGAATTGGATACAATTAAAATCGGAATCATTGATTTAATTATTTTTAATAATAAATAAAAACTGATTTGAGTTTTTATGTAAATATAAAATTTTGTCATGTGTTCGAAGGATTCTTTATGATATTCATCTTATTTAACAATTTTGAAGTGTTGTTTTGTTATATAATCCAATTTATAAGATTTTTAACGTGAGTCATTAAAAGAAAAAAAGAGGGCAGATTAAAAGTAGTAAACATCTATTTAGAAAATTTTTCAATTAGATACTAAGCAAAGATGGATAGTAGCTAGCAGTGCAATCCAGGACGCGTGTTTCGTCCTATTTGGAAGTCGTCAGATGGATGTATCAGCATCTCAGAGTTGAAGTTCACTCTGGAACTGGAACCAAGAACCATTCGCTTCAAACGCCATCGCATTATCCACTCGGCCACTGAGTCCTGTGCAATGGGGTGAAGTTGAAATTCACTTAGTATATGCCAATTAGAGACTGACCAGTTGCAGTCTTAAAACATCAATGGGAAGATTCAAATAAACAATACTGAATGAATTAGATAATACGTAAAATCAATTTGGTTCATCAAATAATTAAGATATTTATTTATTTATTTAGAAATTTTGTTCTGTTTCTTAAATGCTTGGATCTGAGATAAGTATAAATATCTAAGAGAGTTAATCTACTTACAATAACATAAGTAGTTTATTTATGTATGACAAATTTAATATGATAAAACAATGTTCGACCGTCAAATGAAATCGTGTTCATCTTAAAGAATTTTAGATTTTTACATGAAACTTTAAAAAAATTAGCCTCAAATACCATTCCTTATATGCATGGTTTTGTGTAAGTAATCTTTGATTAGTATCTGAATCAATCAAGATTAATGAGTAAACCTTTATTTTCACATTATACAATGAAAATGACTATATAAAAGCTAAATTAAATAAGATGTCTATCCGAGAAAAATTCTTTTCTACTCGACTACTAAAATTATGTCATTTTTAATTCAACCAATAATGACAAAGTCTATATCAGACAGACTGACCAAATATGTCAAAAATTACATTAAGATGGTTCAAAAATCTTTGTCTCATTATATCATTTCATTGACCACTAATGAATATTAAGAGGACTTTGAGATTAAAGTATTTATAAGCCGATGTAGCTGTAAATAAATCCCCAAAATCAATAGCTCTGTAAGTGTTCGACATTGGATGCTGACCACATTAGTTTTAATAGACTCACCCATAGTTGAAGGCACTCAGTCATGCATCCTCATCAGATCACGTTTTGGAACGGCATGTGCAACATCTCCTGCGATCACTAGCCAGATTAGATCAGTTAATTCTCGATATATTGGTAACCCATCAAATATATCTTCCAACCTCTTCGCTTCTAACTTTTGATTTTACTGGGTGCGCGTGATTCATCTATAGAAGGTGATACTGGTAAAGTGCTATCAAACTACAATACCGTGATATCTTCAATGTGCTAATTTTTTCAATTGTTAAGAAATATCTAAATGATGTTTAATATACCAAAGAATTTCAGGCTACTTTCGCTGAACTCATGAATCTGCCTTTTTAAAAGAATCAGATTTTCAAATAGAAATAATGTTTGATAAATTTCAGTTATTTTTAAGTACTTTAACTTTGTTGTGAGAAAGTTTTAAGAGTTCTTAAAAAGGTTAGAAAAATGACTATTTTTAATGATATAATTAATTGGTTTAGTTTTATGAGAATTTATTTGGATTTTGTAAATTAGACATTAGAAAGAGGTTAATTTACAGTGCCAAAATAACTAAGCGTAGTACGTATTCTTAGTTATCAGTTATGTCTCATTATTGATCCACTCTGTACAATGACTTTAAGCATCAATAAATGTAGAGCTTATTGAGATATTTAATTTTATTTAATCAATATTAAGTCGAATAGTTATCAAATGGTGACGAACTAGTTAGCATTAAAATGACTCTAGAACAATCTATTTGATAGTCCCATGTTATATCGATATTTAGATCAATTATTAGAGTATTTAATCAGAGACGGATGGTGACTGACAGTGAAATCCAGGGCTACAGTTTCGTCCCATTCGGGAATCGTCAGCTGAATGTACCTGCATTCCATAGTCGATGTGCACTTCAGGACTTCAACACTGTACTGTTCACTGCAAGTGGTATCGGATTATCCAATTAGCTAATGAGTTCAAATAGCAATGCCGAGGCAATCCGCTCGAGGTGCACATATTTCAAAGGAAAAACAGATTATTTGCTATCTTAAACATCGATGAGAAGATCCAAGATATCTTGAAATTTCCCATCATATTAAAAGACTAATATTTGAATGAAAAATGTTCTCTTTCAATAAATTCTATTCAGGTTCTACAATTATATATCCAAATTAATAATCCGGAAAATGGTCAGGTTAAGGGGAAAGTAGATCGTTTACTGTTAAAGCATATGAATTTAGGATTGTCAAACGAAATATAATAAAATTATTAATGTTGGTATGACTCATATGGGGAATGTTAACCTGAATCTGCCTTTATGTGAAAATGATAGGATCCATGATCAGAATTAATACAGGTCAGATAGGGTGAGAGAGATAATAGTACAGTTACAATTCGATCAAAAGTTTAATGGATGACCATATTATGTCAAAAATTATTAGTAAGATATAATAAAGTGGGATGCAATGAGAAGTAAATGAATCATGTATTGGGGAAATTAATAATGATGTTTAACCAATAGAAATAACAGTAATAATGATAATAATAATAATAACAATAATAAAATATTTGTGAATAAACACAACAGAGAAAATTGCATTTGACTACGAAAGGTCATAAGTACAATACTCAAATTAGGTTATTCAATAGCTAAGATTATTATTGATTAGTTGGTCATGAGGTTGTCCAGGGGAGGAGAACTGGTTGAAGATATCACTTTTGTACGCATAGTTCCGGTTTTTTTATCCGGATGGCAACTGCTTCAGCCATTTGATTTGTTTTAAGCTGACAAGCTTTGGTAAAATATTAATGACCCGATA